TTTGTTCTTGTGTGACCACTGGCCGGGCGATAAGTGAAATAAAATGAGCTTTCGGCTCAAGTTGGCCCCGAACCCGAAACCCGACCCCCGACCCATAAACCGACCCCGCTGACCCCATTACCCATTCGAGGCCAGTAAGCAGCATGCGGTCTTGTAAATTCATTTAGCAAACTGGCTAAGAATGCTTGCGACCATTTTTGTGCGCCAAAGTTTTGAGATTTAGTTCAAGTCTACGGCTTTCTAAGTTGGCCAGCTCGACAATTCATCAAAATGCAGGCGGTCGGAAGGCGTGGCCCGGAGGGTTAGACGCGCACGGGGCCATGGATTTTACGAAAGCTTTTGTGCGATTGCTACAAAAATCGTATAAAACTTTTTGCCAGTCGGATACAGAGTGTGTCTCTGTGGTGTGTGTGTGTGTGTGTGTGTGCGTGTGCATTGGTGTGTGTGTGTATAAATTGTTGTCAAACTGTAGCCAAAACATTTCAAGACGCTGAAAATTCTGTTGTGCAAAAGTTTTGTCCAGTTATTTAATTGAATTTAGCACCCAAAGGCGTTGAGGCCTTGCCCCCCTCTTAACCTCTCTCCCACTCTTTCCCCCTCCCTCTCCCTCTCTCTCTCTCTCTCTCTCTCTCTCTCACGCTCTATCTCATTCTCTATATTGTATTTATTTTGTTATTTGCCCGCTTAGATTTGTCCTTGCTCCGCCACGCCCACCGCATTTATGTTGTTGAGAAAATGATGTGGCCCGCCACATTTTGGGCAGCGGAGGGGTCGGGAGAAGGGTTGGCTGCAGTTGTGCTTGCAGCCGTATTTTGCGGAAAGTTTCTATGACTGTTTATTAAAGAGCTAAGCGCACTTAATAAGCTTATGCCTGCATGTCGGCCATGGCCCCAGTGTTGAGCAGTGGCCCGTTACTAGGAGTGTTGAGCAGAAAATGTTTACCATTCACACAATTCACAAAACAATTCAAATTAAATAGAAACTCACAAATGCCTAAGACTGGCTTTGACTTGCCTCGTCAACCCTCTCTCTCCCACTCTCCCTCTCTCTCTCTCTCTCTCTGTCGCTCTCTCTCTCTCCCTCTCCCGCTCTTAACAGCACTGCAGCTGGTAGAGCAGCAGCTGCTGGAATGTGTTTTAAAATAATATTGCATAATAGCCGTCTGAGCAGCCAGAAGAAGCCATGGCAGTGGCTGCACTGTGTGCAAAATGTATAAATTTTTGGTCTCAAAAATGATCTATTATATATTAACAGTATTTATATTAAAAAATGCCTAAAATGCAATTCATTTATCTCATTCCCAAACAGCTCCATTACTTGCTGTTAATTTAACAGCTTTTGATTCCGTTTACATTTCTGCTATATAACATAACAGTTTTAATATATATACAAATGTAAAGTATCCAAAGTGCAATGTTAATTAGCAGAAATGTTAAGAATAAAGTATTCCTAGAAAGCTGTAAATGTATAACAGAAATATGTTATTCGATTGACAATTCAATAACTTTTTAGCCACAAATAATCTAAATTTAGCCCACAGTACGAAAGCCAGAAGCAATGCAAGAAATAGCTGAGCATGCTTAAGTTTGTTTTGTATGCGTACGTGTCTGTGTGTGTTTGTGTGTTTGTGTGTTTGCGTGCAAACATTTTAATTGCTCAAACATAAGTCGAACAAATTGAGTGTCCCAGGCTCAGTGTCGAGCACTTTGCTTTACCAATGTCTGCCGCTGCTGACAAGAATGCATTTTACTTCATAATTCGTTCGGCACTTAATCGGATTGCGGCCGTGTGCAAATCAAATACAATAAAGAGTAAAGTCCTTTACCAGGAGGCCGCAGAGCGTCATTAATATGCGTAAAACGCAATGGAAACCATGCCGGATTTAATAATATTAAAACGTCGACAACGACGACGACGACGACGTCTGCCGCAACCTTCGCTTACCACTTAACATAATGATGACTGAGGCGCGGGGGCATGGCGAGGCGAGATATGGTGGCTTGCGGTGTCGATTGCCGTGGTGTGGTCTGGTTTTGGGTCGCCATTAAACACAATTAATTGCTCACACTTAACACAGGCGAAACAGTCCGACCGGAAGCTCAGAAACTGCCGTCAACAGTCACCAGTCAGCAGTCAGTCATTATACAACACTGGCAGCTCGTGCTGATGCCCCCTGTTGGCTCCTGCCCGTGCGGGTATGTTAATTACGCACGTATGGCTATTTAAATTGGCTTTTCTGTCGGTTCGAAATGTTAGTTTTATGTTAATTAACCATTGTTTATGCCAATTATGGCATCTGTGCTGAGGCAGAAGCTTCTGCCATGCTGCCAATCCTCTCGAGCGGCACGAGTCAGCATTTGTCCGGATTGCGGCCAGAGAGAAGAGTGAGTACAGCAAGGCCTGGGCATACGTTGATAATAATTTGCAGCTGTTGTCTGTTAGATAACTTTAATTATGTCTCATCTTTATGAGCACATCTACACTTAAAATGGAAAGCCATAAGCTGTATGGGTCAGGAAAAACAGAAACCAGCTAAATGCATTGACAATACTTTACTCTCAAGCATACCTGACGTGCCTTAGCTATAATATAGTATACGCATACAGTAGTCACTCACAAAAGAGAACACTTTCCTTTGAGTTCTTACAAATTAGGGAAGATCTTCTTTTGCATACCATAAATGATTGCATATTATAAACTAAATTTGTAAATGCAATCCTAAGTTGGGCTAAGTGAAACAATAATTCGAGCAGGTTGCCGGTTCGAATCCCTGGCTAACTGTAAAGATTTTGTGACAATCATGCGACTGTCGAGCGAGCATGACAGCTTTAAGCTATACTTTATACCTAAAATAATCAAAAATGAAGTTGTGCTCAATAAATGAGTTGTCTAACTGACGTTTGGGTTGCGGGCTCGAGTCCCAGGCTAACATTGAGTCATAATTGCCAAACAGTCTCTGCATATATTTTATGACATGTTCCACTTTAATGCGCAGCAAATTAATAATGCTCTCTGTTAAGAAATTGCTGCTGCTATCAGAATCATAGTTTAATATTTGTATGAATATTTTTGGCCACGTCTACAATGGCTCAAGCATATCAAAAACAAATCCGATTTGTTTGCCTCCCGCTCCTGTAATGTATATATATATGTATATATGTATATATATACACATATGCAGGGCGACTTACACTTAATTCGTCTCAGATTTTGATATGCGCCGGAATTTGACAAGTGCTCCTGAAACGGAATTCTCGAATATGTGCGCGCCCGCTAGGCTGGGGCTAGCTGGGGGCCTTCGCTGTCTGCTCAAAGACAAAAGGACATGGGTATCCAAGGATCTGTGTCGCACACACGCACACGCACACACGCGCTCACACCTCGCATTTTCTGTGCCATTGTTGCCAGCGCCAGACGCTGTCATATACACATGTGATTACTTATTGTGCTGCGAGTGTGTGTGTGTGTCTGTGTCCGTTTCAGTGTTGGAAAATGTGTGCACATAATGTGCTCTCTTTTGGTTTATGTATTTATATACACATTTCATTTCACTTAAGCTCTTTTAAACATATTTAAAGTACGTGATGTTTAATGTCTTCAGAGCATTTGCCCCACACACATACACACACGCACACAGGCCGCCTAGGGTGTGTGTGTGTGTGTGTGTGTGTGGATTTCATTCTTTACCTTTTGCATAAGCAAATTTTAATATGTTTAACTCGTTTCGAGCGGGCATGAACAACTTTCAAGTCGCAGAGCGTTAATTTTTGAACAGCAGCCGCACCCTTCGACCTCTGCCTTGTGTGTGTGTGCCTGTGTGTGTGTGTGTGTGTGTATGTGTGTGTGTGTGGCCTAGGCACATAAATGTCAACTGGCGCACTCATCCATCAATGAGCTTTGAAAAATTAACACTGTGAGCGACAGTGGCAAAGGACATTCATCCTGGATGATACCAGCCAGCGAATGCGGCCTGTCGCTTTAAATTATGCAAAACGTTACAATTCCCTGGCTCAAAAAGGTGTGGCCAAAATGATGAATTGTGTTGCCAAAGAGTTGCCCTGTCCGCCACTGGCCCCGCCCCCGACCACAATGTGGACGATGTCGGACTATATTGGCTCCTGGTCAAACAACGTGACGAGTTTTACAGTGTCCGATCCACCTGTCCAAATAGATTCAATTCGATTAACTCGCATTGCACATCGGCATCCCAAAATGGCTACGTGACCAACGGCTCGGAGCGGGTCATTCAAGGATTTTAATTCAAATGTATTCACAGCGCGGAAAAACGTCGAACGTACTTTAAATAGATAAGTCTATGCTGGAGCAGGCATTTACGTAGGGCTTAAGGAATGAAAATGTTGCCTTTAGCTTCATTTAAAATTGTGGATTTTTTTGAAGGGGTTGGGGTTCATGGATTTCTGAATACAAATTGTTTAAGTCTAGGTATGTTAAAGTCTAAATTCCGGGCTTTATGTCTTTGGCTTTTATGAGCCATGAGTTCCCTTAATACAGATGGTGGCTAACTCTTCTATATATTCTATTTATGTTAAGTCGCATTAAGTATTTTCCTACACTGTAAAGAACACCATTATTAAGTGTTTTAAACGAAAAGCAAGTTTAGGAATGCGAGTAAGAAAATAAGAGTAGTATCTATGTATTTATGTTAACAAATACATATTTGTATAAATATTTGCAACTGCTGCTCTCAGCTCTGAGTCAATTTGCAACAGAATATATTTTCCAGTGCGTATTTATGAGCATTTGTTGCATTAATTTTGTTTTTTTTTTTTTCGCCAGTTGCAATTCACTTTGATTTTTATTTCAACAAGTAAACATCAACAAGAGTTCAAACCAGCAAAATGCACCCAACAACACAACCAAAGCCAGCTCCACTGTCACATAACCCTCACAATCACCCAACCCCAACCCCACCCCCCCTTGCCCGACTCCAGCTTGCTAATACGTTTTTATTTTTATGTATTTCTCTTGTCTATTTCTAGTTGTGCTTTTGTATTTGCCCATTTTAATGAGTGTAGCTAAAAACAACTACAAACAAAAAAAAAACAACTACAAACTAAACCAAATACAAAGCATTTTTTACATCAACAACAACAACAACAACAACAACAATCATCAATACACGAATGTGACAATAAAAACAAAGCAAAAGCAAATTAAAAAGAAAGCAAATCAAATTTTAGTTGCACCACAACAAGAACAACAACAACAAGAACAACAAGCACAGTGATAAAGCACAAACGCAGGGAGAGAACAACAAACAACAACAACAAGACACGATTTCCGATCAACTTAGTTGCCTTTAAAGCTGCATATATCCCGAATATCCTGCACATTTTAACATCTCGTTGTCTAGCGTGTGTCCTTGTGTGTCCTTGTGTGTGTGCTTGTCCAGTGTCAAGTGTCCCGTGTCCTTAGACCCACCGCCTACACACACTTTCCCGCTTACCTTTGCTCGCTCTCTATCCATCTCTTTCTCTCTGTGCCTATCTTTCTCTCTCTCGCTCTCTCTCGCTCTGTGTGTGTCTTTCTTTATCTCACTCTCCAGCCCTGTGTTTTGGGTGTCTAGCACTAAGCACTTGCGCACCACCAGCACCATCAGCAAGGGGCCGACAGGGGCCAACAACAACATCAAGAACAAGAACAAGAACAACAATAAGAACAACAGCAACAAGAACAAGTACAATTAGCACCACCGACCAGGTCAGTGTCTGTGTGATTACCCCACTCCTGCTCGTCACACCATCCACATACCAGCACCACAATTGCACATTACTACCATAGATACCCACGGCAGTATTACTACCGCATGGAGCGCGGCACCAGCGGTGGTCAGCAGCAACAGTCGCAGTCGCACCATCCGCACCACCATCAGCAGCAGCAGCAGCAGCAGCACCACCACCAACAGCAGCAGCAGCATCAGTCGCGGCACCAGCATGTGGTATCTGTGCATAGCTACGATCCGTATATGATTGCCGGCGATGCGGATGAGGAGCATACCTCGGGCACATCCTCGTTTGATAATCCGGCAACGAAAAAGAAACCGCCCAAGCTGAAGCCCATCCATCGTTCACTATCGATGGCCATTGATAATTATGCACCGATAGCGACCGAATTGGATTTAGATTTAGATGATGGCTTTATTGTGCATGAGCAGCCGCTGATCCACCGCTCGGCGTCGCCGCTGCCCGTGCGCTCGTCTGCACCGCCGCCGCAGACCCTAGCACTCCCAGCACAACAACAACAACAACAACATACTATTCCCCAACATATACCCGGTGGCGGCAGCGGTTCCGTGTCGCCGGCACTATCTGCACGCCAGCACCACCACCTACAACAACAACAACAACAGCACCACCAACAGCAACAACAACAACAACAACACCAGCAACACCAGCTGCATATGCACACATTCCAGCAACTGGCCGCACAGGCAGCTGCTGCACGACACCACCAGCTGCCACATACGCATGCACCGCATCAGCACCGCCAGCACACGCACCCGAGCTCGAGCAGCTCACCCACCTTGCACGCGGTCAGCCCAGTGCAACAGCAACAACAGCAACAGCAACAACATCACCAACGACAACAGCAACAACAACATCAACCGGATATTTATTTGGTTAGCAGCAGCAGCAGCCTGGGCGACACTGTGGGCGGTCTGGGCATGGGCCTGGGCCTGGGTCGCTCACAGCTGGGCGGCAGCGGCAGCACATCACCGATACAGTTCATCGATGTCGATGATATGCTGCCGCGTGCTGCCGCACAGCAGCAGCAGCACCACCACCCGCATCCGCATCCGCACGCGCAGCAGCAGCAGCTGAAAAAGAACCTGTTCCGGCGCTCAGACACAATTGACGTTCATCCGTCTACCAATTTTCAGATGAAGAAAACGCATTCCTTCCACGCCCAACAGGATCCCGCCGCCATGGAACAAATCCAGCTGGCCGTCGCCGCCGGCTCGGCCACCTCCAGCCGACGCACCAGCTCGGTGCGCGCCAATTTCCTGATGCCCGGCCCGCCGGCCGGCAAGGAGATCTCCCGTTCGCCCTCGCCCAGTCGCCGCGGTTGTCGTTCGCATCGCTCCTTCAATGATCCCGGGCGACGACCCAGCAGCAAGCCCGAATCCGTGGTGGAGTCCCAAATCCGGCATCCCTCGTTGAACGATGATCTGCTGGAGCCGCTCGACGGCCGTTCGCTGTTTCCGCCAACGAATCTGTCGCTGGAGAACGAGCTGTTTGTAGAGTCGCGTTCGCGCAGCAATAGCCATACCAAAATGGAGGAGCTGGGCGTGGCGGAGCTGGCGGCCGCTGCTGTGGCTGTGCAGCGCATGCGCAAGAGCTCCGGTTCGTTTGATGAGACGGCGCCTGTCCTGGCCGCCGGCCACAGCGCCACCCATCCGCCCGCTGCCTCCGCCTCGAACAGCATTAAGCAAAAGCGCGAACCACATCCTCACTCGCGCCAGCAGAGCACCCACAGCCTGGAGCTGGACGGACGACCGTCCACCAGCAGCGCCGCCGCCCACACTATGCAGCTGCACAGCGCGGCGGCCGCCGCGAGCGCCGCGTATCATTTCAAGCGTGGCGCCCAGCACGGACGCTCACTGTACCTGTCGCCCAGCAATCTGGAGGAACTGACCGTGCATCGGCCTGGCCTGCTGGCGGCAGCCGCCGCCTTCCAGGGCACCAATGCCAGCGCCAGTGTCAAGCAGGCCAAGGCACTGCACAGCGCCAGCGTACGGCTGCGCAGCTATCGCGAGGCGCTCAGCGCCACCAAGAAGTCCAAGAGCTTTATAGCCGAGGCCAGCGGCGCAACCTCGGCCGGCGATGATTTTGAGCTTGGCTCGGCCTCACCCCACCGAAGGAACAGTCGCCCGCTGTCGACGGCGGTGCCCAGCGTGGCGGCCGGCACGGCCGCTGTGGTCAATGTGGACGAGATCAAGCGCAGTCCACGTCCAATTACCGCTGCCGCCGTCGCGGCCGCGTTCATCGAGGAGAAGCGACCGTCGTTCGAGCGCAAATCCTCGCTCACCTACGAGCACGAGCTGACCGATGCCGCCTTTGCCGCTCAGGTGCTGCGTCCCTTCCATCATAAGCTGGCCGCCGGACGCAAGGCGTCCCTAAGCGGTGGCTCGCACAAGCTCAAAAAGAAATCGCTGAGCGACGATACCGACGAGGACGAGGAGGCGGACCGCAAGCGCAAACGCATCGTTTGCATTGTCCTGGCCACGGTGCTGTTGTGCCTCGTGTGCGCCAGCGTCTTCGTGCTCATCGTGACGCTCACCTCCGGCCAGAGCCAGTCCGGCAAAAAGTCGCACACTTTCAGCAGGGACACGCCCGTCCACTACACGGGCATGCGACCATCATGAACTCCAACAACAACAGCAATCGATTGCCGCATTTGGCCCAGTGCTGCACTTTCGGCTATTTCGTTGGCTTTCACTTCCGTTTCCGCTGCGCTTACGTGCACTTCAACTTCTACTTCTGCTTCTTCTTCTTCTTCTTCTTCACCAATCCTGTATCCTGCATTCTGTGTGTGCGTGCGTGTAATTGTGAGCCGCTTCGATTGTTCTCTCCAGTGTCACAGCAGTCAACCAGCTGCCAGTAGCTGTCTAATTGAGGACGAGCCGCAGCAGCAGTTGCAGCGGAAACAACAGCCACAACAACAACAACAATTGGCCGCAATTCGTGAGAATTGCAATTGAAAAACTAACGCACCAAGTCGCGCGCCTGTAAGTAGGCAATGCCTTTTTTCACAACAATTTCCGCTTTCCCTTATTATTTTGTTATCGTTATCGATTATCATAAAGAACTATTCTCGAAGTGAAAACCAGTTCGGATTTGCTCAACACTGTGCAAACTATAAAATACAATACGTTTACCAACACCACAGAAAGCAAAAAGCGCATTAAATGCGATGAGTTTAGCCCTAGTTATCTATTGTCACCACTCTTAGTGAAAACATAACCAAAAATTAACCACTTTTAAGTGGAAACCAGTTCGGCTTTTTCAACACAGTGCAAACTATAAAATACAACACGTTTACCAACACTACACATTCAAATTATTTTAAATATCACTGAATTTGCGATCCGTTTCTCCCGTTCGTGTCACGACTTTCGTTCAGCTCTAGTCTCTTAATCGAAACAAAACCAAATAAATAAATAAATAAATAATGTAAAAGAAAAAAAAACAGCTCAATTTATCAATTGTTTCTCTGGCGCAAAATATTTTCGACTTTTTGCCAAGCCAATAACAAATGTCAATAATAATTTGCACTCAATTTTTTTTGAGTTTTTCATTTCTTTACCATACAAAAATTCTTGCTCATGGCATGATTTTTAAATAAGGCAACTTTTCGACCAAATATGTAAGTCATATATATGGTATGTGGCCAGCGTGACCTTTGCTGGCAGCAATGTGTGATAAAAAGTAACTTTTGTGTGAAATTCAGTTAAATTGATTGCAGATTTTGTAAATAATGCTTGCCAAACAAAACTGCAACTCACTTATAAATATTTGAAAATGTTTTCTTTTTTTAATATTCAACGTTAGCAAAATCATGATTTAAGCTTACCTTGCGTTAAAAGCTGAAGAAATGTTTCGAAGCGAATGAAAAGTTGAAAAATTATGTTGAAAATTTTAAGTAATCCGATTTCGATATCCGAAATATATGAAAGAATGACAATCGATAGATAATATCTAGAAGAGTCGAAAAATCGTAGATCAATTAAAAATCGCCCAAAAATAAACGAGATGTTTAAAATTTCTATTCTAAATTTCTTTGCACAAATTATGTAATTATGTTATTTTCCCATATGATATATATAAATCCTTTTAGATAATTTAATTCAACTTTAGTTCATGCAATCTCTAAAATTGCGAACAAATCCAAATGCAATTGGTTTCCATTCTTCGATGCCATTTGATTTTGGCATTACATATGCAAACGCATACGGGATAGTTATCAGACAGACTGGGTGGGTGAAAGAAGGGTGGGTGAGTCAGTTGGCCATATGCCCCGTAAAGCCATACAAATACCGTTACGTATTCCCCAATGAGCAGCTGCCAGATGCTGACTTACGAAAATTGAGCTGGCAAAAGCTCAGCAAATCTCGAGCATTACATAACCGACTCAATGACTAAGCGACTGCCTGACTAACTGACTTGCAAACACCAGCAGCACACATACGCACATACACAAGCACACACGCACACACACACACGTGCGTTGGCCATAAAAAATGATGCTTACCTCGACTTTAATGACTGTGGCTGTGACTGCAGCAGCAACAAGCAGCAGCAGCCACAGCAGCAGCAGCCCAAAGCCAAAGCCAAACCAAACTAATCAGCACTATGTGTGTGTGAGAGAGAGTGTGTGTGTGTGCGTGTGTGTGTGTGTTGTTTAGCCAAGCACAGACAATGACAATGGGCACTCACTGACTGACTGACTGACTGACTGACTGACTGACTGACTGAGGGACAGTTGGGCCTGCGTCTGCAAGGACCTTTTTGTTATCATGCTCACTTTTTATACTTTCACTTAATAGTTGTGTGTGTGTGTGTGTGTGCGTGTGTGCATCATTACGGGCAACGTGGCAACGGCTGTGGCATCCTTTTTATATGTGCGCCCACAGACATGCACGCTTATTTACACACACGCACACGCACAACACACAACAACAACAACACACACACACAAACACACGTAATTTTGCGTTTACGACATGAAACTAGGTTACTTTTTCATGTGCGCGTGAGTGAGTGTTGCAGCAACAATAACAACAACAACAACAAAAGGAGGAGCAACAATTGTTTACTGTTGGCAACGTGCCTCGTCCTGGTGACATTGCCCGCTCAGTTGGCTTCACGTCCTTGTCTCAGTGTCCTGTGAACGCCGCTCGGCGTGAGCAAATGCCCACGCGACCGCACGCCAAACAGCAAAAATCAACAACAACAACAACAATCTCCTTTAGCCACGCCCACTAAACGCATCAACAGCAAATTGACAGGCACATAGAATGCGTCTGATGGAAATGTCAAAGATATGTCTTTACTCTCATTTTTATACCCAAATAATAGGCATCAAATAATGAAAATGTCATCAGAGAGAGAGAGCGGCAGAAATAATAAAGAATAGAAAACACAACTATTTTAAGCAAGCCGAATTGTGAATACCTTTACTGGACTCTAGTATTTCTGCTTATCAAGAATATAAACTATATTAAATGATAAGTGTGGTTATGTTCCATAATTTGAGGTTAGGTCAGAATTGTTGAGCTATGGTTAACTTAGTTGAGGTTAGGTTAACTTAGTTGAGGTTAGGTTATATCAATTGTGGTTATGTTAGATATGTTGTGGTTATGTGGGATTATTTGGGTTAGCTTAATTGAGGTTAGGTTAGATCAGTTGAGGTTAGGTTGGAATAGTTGAGGATTGATTAAAATTTTTAAGGTTAGATTGAAATAATTGAGGCTTGGCTAAATTATTTGAGGTTAGGTTGGGTGGTTCGATCTCTCACACCTCGCACGCATTTGTATTAAATAAATAAAAAACGACAAACAAAACACTAATTAATAAAATGAATTATTCATAATTAAACTATTGCTCAAATAGAAAAACGGCATTAACAACTGAACTCTTGAACAGTTTAAAATTATTAAAACGTTTGTTTGTGCGTCATTTACACGCATTAAAATAATTGTAATTATAATTATAATTATGCATATCAGTGCCTTAACGCACATTCAACTGAAATATAAGCCGAGCCGACTTTTCATTTAATACCGTTAAATGTCAAAGTCAGTGAACGCAAAAGTTCAACTCATCAGCGCGGGGAAAAGCGTGCGGAAAACGCATGATGGAAATTTAAACAAGCATAAATAATCGAAAAACGTAATTAATATTGAAAATGATAAGCAACAACAAAAAAAAAAAAAAACAATGAAAAAATGAAATACAATTATTAATAACTTTTTTTGAAAGATGATTTCAAGTGCAGAAAGAAATCCATTAATCGAGCTAAAAGCCGTTTTAAAATGGGTCCCAATAATTAATTAAATACGAAACGAAAATCTGCTTTAAGTAGAGTCTGAGAAAAATATGTGTGATTAATGCCAAATACAGTGGACGCTAGCTAAATCGAACGCTTTTATTTAAGAGTTATTACGAGAAATCGGTATTTTTTTGAAAGGTTTTTTTAAGGATTTTTTCTAGCCCCACTTTATAAGAAAATATGTATATATAATATTTATATACACATATTTGAATTGTTACAGTTTATTTTCTTATGCGAGTAACTACTGTAGTTTTCTGATTTCACGATAATTTTCTGGTTTTCTTATCAAATAACTTTGCTAATTGATTTTTATTAGTTTTTATACTTAAATACATTTGCTATTCGCAATGCTCTTAAGTTCCTCAAGGTAAGAAACTCAGCTTAATTAATTTTTTCTTTTATGAGCTTTATTTTCATTTTGTGAAAACCTGAATTTAATAGCCTTTGCTTTCGCCAAAAAAACACTATATTCAAAAAGTCCGTATTTGAGGGAGGGAAACCTTAAAATTGCATTAATAATTTCAATTAAAAACCAACAAAACAACAACAACAACAACAACACACACATATACACACCACTTGCACGCTGTAAGTGAAGCAACTTCAGCAACTCAGAGGCCGGAAACTAATTAGTTACATTGTAGTTACATAGTCGTCGGTCTTCATCCGTCATGACTGCACATCAGGAGGCAGCTGCCCGGGCCCTTTGGGTGCCTTGTAGCCGCGTGAAGGGGGGGGGAAGGTAGCGGTGGCACGGGCTGTGCTGTTGCTTTCAACGCCGCATTTATAATTAAACAACATGAAAGACACAAAGAAGCAACATACACACGCGCACACACACACAGCACACCTGGTCACACACAACACACTTATACACACACACACACAGCTGGTCACACGGCACACAAAGCCGGAGACAAAGTGAGGCTGAAAGTTACACGGCGGCATTTATGAGCGCCCATAATGGCTGTTAACAATTTAACTTGTTTACCAGTGGGAAAGTTCTATGCTAATTGGTCTCAAATAGCCACACACGCACACACACGCACACACACACACACACTCGCACACACACACTCGCACACACAGTGTGCCCCATTATGCACGGTAGCTGTGTGCGGCACTTGCCAAGTGAATAATGGCAGCCACCCGCAGCCGCAGCCGTCACCTGTGTGTGCCCCTCGCCCGCTGCACTCCCCCCCCCCTCTGTCGTCATTAACACATTGCGCCTACGCCTCAAAGGGGGGGCTGGGGGCTGCAACAGGACAGAACGATTACAACCGCAGACCACGTGATCCGCTCCAGACTCTTGTTTGAGTTTTTTATGCGCTTGCCTCTTGGCCCCTTCCGTTTAAATGCCGCCCGCTGGCCCAGCGACAGTTTTTTTTTTGGCTCAGCCGCATTCCTGTGCCTTGTGCATATATTAAATTTAATTTGTTATTTTAATACCCTATAAAAGCTGTTGCCCTGAAGGAGTTGTTGGCCGCAGTTGTAAAGTTTTGATTTGTTAAGCCTTCGCCTGAATAGTTTCATTATATTACACGTATACCCTGTAATTTTCTTCTTTTTTTTTAGTTTTGCTAAAAAACAGTGTTGTGAATTTTCTATAAATTAAACATTGTTATATTACAGTTGAATATTAATTGAAAAAATGCATAGCTCCAAGTCCGAAGCATTTTTTTTTAATGTATCTATTACCCATAAAAAAGGAAAGGAAGGGTCTGATGTATTTGGGCAAATATATGTAACAGGCTGTTATTATTATTAATTTTTATTTATTATATAAATAATTGTATTTTGTTTTAAAAGTTCGCCATCAGATTCATGCTTCAAAAATGCACATATTACGAGGTATCTTGACAGTCGTTTACTTAAGGCTTATCAATATCATTTTTTTTTTTTGCTTTAATAAACGAGTAACTAATTTTGCAATTAAATAAAAGCGTTCGTAAATTACTTGAATATTTGGTCGCCGTTTTTGTGGGTCGCTGTGTGTGTGAGAGTGAGAGAGAGTCTGGCATTTGGGGCAAGTATTTTTTAATTAAATTTTTGTAGCGCACAATTGGTGCAGGCCAGGGTTAAACGAGTGTGTGTTTGCAGCTGCAATGCATGCAGATGCGGCAGCCAAACAACATGCCACAGTTGCAGTAACTGTGTTGCAATATCAAGTTAAATCATTGGGAAAACAACAAAAAAAAAAATAAGCGACAGCTACCAAAAAGCGGAACAAAGTAAAACCAAACAAGTTGTGGGCCAAGCGAACAGCTAAAACACAATCAGACCTGCGAGTAGACCAACTTTCTGGCTCTCCCACCCTTTCATCCCAATCCCCCTTCTGCTGGCAGTGTGTGTGCCCATGTGATTGATTGGCAAACAAATTTTTGACACTTTACATCAGCATCTGTTGCAGCAGCAGTTTGTGCCACGCCCACATGCCATGAGTCAATTTGTTTGCCATTAATTAAAAGTGTTGTAAAATGCACAAAAGCGTCGAGCAAACAACATCAAAAATGGCGCTGACTAAAGTCGAAAGACGTGTTGGGGGCAGGGTTGTATTTTGCATATGGCGATGAACCGGAAACGGAAACAGAACGCGCGTCGCTCACAAATGTTGAACTGTGCTTAAAGTAAATAGTCTGGATTGATGAAAGTTTTATTCAAGAATTCATCAACAGGCATTTACTTCAACTGCAGTTTAAACGAAATGCAACAGAAGAAGGATTCGAAGCGTGAAATGTGCCAAAAAAAAAAAAAAACAAATAATTATAAATAAAAACTTGTTCCATTAGAGCTTAAGGCAAATGCTAAATATACCCATTTTAACATATATAAATTCTTTATGCGATATTTATTAAACTTGTTAAATTTCTTGTCTGTTTCGACCAGTGCGTCAGGAGAACGAGCGCAGCATGCGCGAGAACCTGGAGCGCACGCTCATGATGAAGAACCTCACGGAGCTGAATCTGCAGCGGCAGCAACAGCTGCTGCATCAGGCGAAACAGCAGCAGCAGCAACAGCATCTGGCGCTGCAGCAGCAGTTGCTGCAGATTCCATAACAAACGCTTGACGAGCATTTCTAATGGCAAAGGGTTATGCATGTTCTGTTACTATTTACCAACACTGACACTGGCATTGTTCAACACTAAACAACCAACAAAAGTTATGCGCACAATATAAAAAATAAATAAAAACCCACTTTGCTAACTACAATTAAAAGAAATGGAGCATATGGAAGGACGCTACAATGAACAAAATTAACTAATTAAGCTGATAAAAATTTAGAAAAACTAAAAACTATTTGTTTGATATGCGAAGCAGAAATAAGCAACAAAGCAAACACAATACGAGTATTTAGCAGATTGTTAGTCAAAGTTGTAAGAAACCAAAAACCAAAAACTAAAACGAAAACCAAAACTAAAGCAAAAACAAATTAAAAAAGTGATCCAGTTTAGGCCTCAGTTGTGCGGGCAGAAAAATATGTTATTTATAAAGTTGGTTTGATGCATTGTAAAAATGTATTTATTGTCATGTATGCTAAATGTAATTTACGATCTGTTAGGATCTGTTACGATCTGTTAGGATCTGTTACGATCTGTTACGATCTGTTACGATCTGTTAAGATCTGTTACGATCTGTTACGATCTGTTAGGATCTGTTTATACGTCTTGAACTAGACGTAGTCATCGTTGTTGTTGCCAATGCGCTAGCTAATGTACAAGTGTGTATGAATTCCAAGCCACGCCCACAAACAGCAAAAATTTGTTAAATTGCAGTCAACGACTATTAGATACCCTGTGCCCAGTGTTAAAAAGCTTTTAGAGCACTTAGTTAATAGACAGTAGAAATATTTTACTTTCTATTAATATAAACATTCTAATTTCTAGACATTTCCAATTGCCAGAGGTTCGTCTTATCGAGCACACACTGTACTATGATAAGCTCTTGCTGTACAAGTAAAACCCCCTTTTCTCATTGGGCACGAGCATTACAAACGATACATCCCGTTCTCTTTGTGTCTAGAGTATTAATGTAACACATATAGCCCGTTTCCTTTGTGTATAGAGTATTAAAACCAAAATGATAAGCAAAGGTTTCGCTAGTTTAGTTAGTTGCTTCATTGGTTTCATTTCAAGTTTTAATTCAATTTATTAACTCGATAAACTCAACTTTCATTTCCAAGTAGAATAAATACCACCCACCCCCCCCCCCCCACCCCCCTCCATCCCTCTGCCATCATCACTTCCCGCCCGATACGAACTTGTGCGCAGCGCGTTTGGCATATAGACGAAAAATAAAAATAAATAGTTGGTCAATAGTTGTGTATATCTGAAACAAAGTTGTTAACTGAAAAGTATTCGTAAGTAAAAACACGTTAAAAGCAGCAAAAGTTTTTGTATCCTTAAGCAAATGGTAACTAGGAAAAACTACAAATAAAAAACAAAAACAAAACAATTTTCATAATAACAATAAAAGGAATGCATTAGCATTATTCTCACTTTGTTTGCGTGCGCCAAAGTTCAAGCGAAAGGACTAGAGGGCGCAAATAATTGTTGTATAGCAAATAAACTAGACCTTAAACAATAAACATTAAAATACAATTAAAAAATATAAACGAAAAAACAAAACAAAACAAAAACAAAACAAAAAAGAAAAGTTACTTAAGTGCAAAACGAGCTTGTTGTCAAATTAATTTTACATTTAGCTAAAACATAAGTTAAAATTAAACAAAAGCCAAGCAAAAATTTAGCTGCGAAAAACTGTTCAATTTGTGCAATTGTAAATGTGTAAATGTGTACTATAACTGTGCTTTAGTACATGCCATGCATATACGATTTTTGTTAGCTATCGAGATATATAATTTCGATCTGGGTCTTAGCTATGCAAACTTGAGGCAACTTCAATTGAATGTATTAGTTTTGTATTTGTAGGCGTTTTGGTGTATGTGTATGTGTATGTGTATGTGTGTGTGTGTGCGTGTGTGTGTGTGTGTGTAACTATTCTGTTGCCAATTTCAATAAACTTTAGCTTGAAGCATATATAAATATATATATGTATATATATATATATATATATATTCTATCGGTTTCAGCCGCAAAAGCAACTCGAAGCTCAATTTCAGGCACAGTACGCAGTCGACACTTTTGCTTTGCTCTTTCCTTTGGTCCTGCGGCCAGCCTAACTAATAAAAGGAGTTAACGAAAGAATAGTCAAAGGATTACTAAAGAATTGGTGGAATGGGAAACGGTCCCAAGCTAAACTAAAGATCGTCAATGGTAGCAGAAACAGAGAAAACAGCCCGAATTTTTGTGTAAGATTGTGCCTAATCGAAAGTGAGAAAAAAAAAGAAAAAAAAAACAAAAAGAAAATACAACAAATTAATTATAATAGAGATTGTGTATATCTAAGGCAGCTAATAGAGCTGCCTAATTAAATGAAATCAAAACTAAATCGATGTCAATAACGTTAACTGCTAGCAACTGTTTTTCAAATAAAACCAACTCATTTTTTGCAATACAGAGTTCATAGTAAAAATAAACGGAAAGAATATAAAAATCGTCAATGAAAAGCTTTAAATTAAATCAATTTAGAAAGACGACCTAAACAAATAAGAAGTTTAAGTTAAATGCGTTGCAAGTGCAGCAAAATGGTAAAATGAATAACAAATTAAACAATCAAACACACACGCACACACACACACAGTCACACACACACACACACACACACACACATTTACACCCTAGTTAACTGCAGGTTACACATGTAAAATTTGCATTTTTGGCAGGTGCATTGCGCAATCCATTTCACTTTCGGCAGGATGCGAACTAAAACAACACGCACACATGCACAAACAAAGCCTAAAGCATGTAATAAATATGCACACTCACACACACACACACACATGCCAAGACATCTTTGTAAACTCCCACACACACACACACACAGCTAGAAAACAAAGAATAAACTGCATTAAGCCTTAGCTCAAGGCAAAAACACAAATCTGAATAAAATGTTAAAATGAAATGGAATTTCGCAAAAACAAAAGTACTTTGTAATTGCATTTAACATAAGTAAATTGAATATATAACTAAAATAATATAAATAAAAGCGAGATTAATTTAGTTGAGGCAAAACAAAATTTAATAACATTTAAGCTGAATTATTATACAATACAATACAATACAAAGAGTAAAACGAAAAATACAAACAAACAAAACCACTTGGTAATCATTTCATCAATGCAATTCAGAAAACAGCCAACGGCATTCGGTGTTAAGGCTCGAAATTGTTTTCCAATATTTAATGAAGCTCTTGAACACTTGAGTAGCCTTTGAAAGTGTCACAAACTTTGTTTGGCCAATTATTTACAAAGTACACAGCCACACACACACACACACACACACACACACAAGGATCATGGCAAGAATGTAAATAGCGAAATTTAAGTGTAATAAAACAATAATGAAATGATGCTTGATACGTATGTAAATCAAAAAGTTGACGACTTGCAGTAAATTAGTTTATACAAGTGTACATACATACGATGATGGCCATGTATGTACATATATCTGATTAACAAATATAAATATAAAATTTAATAACTAAATGTGTGCAAGAATTCAAACTTAATTGTTAATTGTTGCTCGAAATCAAAATGGAAAATCAAACATTTGAACGCATTCAGCGTTTTATTCATCAAACAAAAATGTTGAACTCAACTAACAAGCAGTAAATATAATATTAAATTTAAATAATAAACAAAAATGCAAATCAAATTGTGTCACCTGTTTAGTATATCAGTATTTGTAACTGAATGGTATTGAAGTGCGAAACAAAAGAAAATATAAAAACAACTTGAACAAACATGAAAACAATGAAAATAAATGGAATTTTTAAATGGAAATAGCATATTTATTTTTAATGGAACAACTGCGTAAGTATGACGGGCTGGTTGATCAAAAACAGTTTCTTTTCAATTTTGCTTGAATTCAACTCGGTTATCTTTCAAATTACACTTTAAATTTGCCGCAACATTTGGGTGTTGCCACATCAGTCGATTTCTAACAGTATTCTTGGAACTTAACATTTTCACTCCTCACATACTCCTCACATAGCCATATAAGAGTAGGTTTAACAGTTTGTGTTTGCTAAATGTATGTTAAAGGTCTTACACATACAAATCTATTAACATTAGGGATGAGCTATAGAATAACATTGAGCACTGAGCTCCGTTAAGACTCTCTTATCAGTCAGTAGCAGTTGCTCTCACTGTTAATAACATTTAGCTAGCCATTATCACAACAGAGTGACAAGGTAGCGCACAATGTTATACTTAGAGAGAGAACCAGATGAACAACGGTCAGGGCCTTAGTTTAGTTCAGTGAATCGTTCGATCGAACTTATTCCGAACGAGTCGACACAACGCTAACAGAAAGCCTGTTGCGCAGAAAATGGGGAAACGAACACAATTAATTAGCAATTAACGGCAGTAAATAAACTGCAATACGCGAGAAAAACAAAAGCATTCGAAACGTTAAAACCAAACAAAACTAAATAAACATTCGACTAACGACAACGCAGCCAGCCACAGCCGCCGCAGTAACAGCAACAGACAGAAACAGAAACAGATCAGCAAAACAATAAGCAAGTCGCAAGCGCACGGCTCAATGAAAAGAAACGAAGAAAAACAGTTTATTTTTGTGTTTAGCTGCCTGCCATACCCCGCAAGCGTTTGTCGCGTGTGTCAACGTGATTGTGTGCGTGCGTGTCTGTGTGTCTATGAAAATATTTAAAAACAAAATCTTCTGCGCAGACGGTCAACGCACAGGGAACAGGGGCAGGCCAGGGCGCACAGGGGTCGCAGCCAGTGCACAGAGAGACAATCAAAAAACAAAAAAACAGCAACAGCAGCAGACAGATAAACAACATCAGCAGCAGCAGCAGCAGCGGCGGAGGCAGCGGCAGCGACGTCGTGTTCGGTGACGCGTCGCGAGGTGCTCGAGGTCAGTTCAGCACATTTCGCGCACGGCCGTTTTAGACATCCCCACCCCACCTCATACCAGCCCAGCCTCACCTCTACCCCCGCAGCAAAACGATCACCTGCAAACGCACGCGCGGCAACGTTTCAATTCGAAGTCGACAGAAAAAAAGTCAGCAACAAAAACAATAGCATCGGCAAACACCGAAAAAAGAATAAGTTAACGAGAGACTCACGCGCAACTCTTTTATTGTTTAACTGATAACCTGTGCGCGGCTGATAAATATCAAGTGAAAAGTTGAAACAAATTATTATTGCAATTGCCCAAGCGCCAAGTGCGAATGCGAATGCGCCCTCAATTTGTATGCCAACCGCACACACATTCGTATACAACACACAACACACACACAGCGACGCATACGCATTCGCATTCCCGCTCCCATTCGCCCCATCCGACGACGACCACTGACGTCAGTCGGCTGGATCGTTATCGTTATCCGAAAATGGTGATACCAGGGCCGGAGCCCATCACGGGGGCCATAGCCACAGCCGGATTTAACCGTACACCGTTAACGGAGCTGAGCGGCGAGACGCGCCGTCAGCTGGCATGCATGCTGAATCGCAAGAAGGTGCTGCGCTCCGAGGAGGGCTACGAGCGAGACTGGCGCGGCATTGCCTCGCTGTCGGGCCAGCGTGGCTATGTGGATGAGTTTGCCAATATGCCCATGGACCTGGTGCTGAACAGCTGGATCAAGCATAATCCACAGACAGCCGAGGTGGGTCATCTGGAGCAGTTTCTGGGCATCATCGATCGCTGGGATGTGCGCGACGATATTCAGGAGAATCTGAGTACGTACTACCCTAATGAGAGACAGCTAGACAGGAGAGTGTAACCCCTATTTCATTTCGATTCCAGCCAAGGACACAAATCGCTACAATATCAAGCAACAGCAGCTGGAACAATTGGCGATCTCGACGCGCGACAGTCCCACGCCCACAGTCAAGTGCTTGGAGCGGAACAACAACAATAGCCTGGCCCGCGATGTCAACCTGCTCAGCATCGACGATGAGAAGTGCCTGCAGAATGGCCAGCCGCTGCCCAGATACAATGCCTGTGTGCTATACGCCGAGGCGGACATTGAACATGCGACAGACATCATGAATAATCTAGAGTCTCCGCCCTATAATCTCAAGGTAAACTATTCCAAAATCTATGCTATAAATACATAATAGAACACAATACACTGGCAGCTGTTCTTGAGACATCGGGATCTGCTGCTGGGCGTACCGTTCGAGCATGTCGAGCTGTCACAGTTCATGGCCACGCGCTGCAATCATTTGATAGTCGTTCTCACGGATGAGTTTCTCAAGAGTCGCGAGAACACGTATCTGGTCAACTTTACGCAAAAGCTGCAAATCGGTAGGCATCACAAAGTCCCGACTGTTTAATACTGATGTGTTAATCGAAACGAATTGAATTCTTGTAGAGAACAACACACGCAAGATAATACCCATATTGTACAAACACAACATGATTATACCCCAGACGCTGGCCATATACACGCACGTCAACTACACGGACACTTCCAGCCTGTTCAATTTCTGGGACAAGCTGGCCCGTTCGCTGCAGGATGTGGACACTGCGTCCATATACAGCGCCAGCCAGCAGCTGCACACGTAAGCGGACAACAACCGAAGCAACTGCAGTCATGATCAAATATTCTTTATGTTTTGCACAGACCCACAGCACCGGAAGCGAGTGCTGCTCAGCCGGAAACGCCGCGTATACTTATCAACGATGCGGACGTGACGGATCTATCCGATTGGAATTTAAGCGAAACAAAGCTCAAGTCAATGTCGGGCAACACAACGGCGCCGTTGCCCGAACTAAAAGTCAAGCGCAAGGATAAGCTGCTGCAGAAGCTAACGCTCAATTTTAGTACCTCGCCGCGCAACGGCAGTGCAAACGGCAAACCGCTCAGACATGCGCATTCGGTCAGCGCGATTAACATGCAGGAGCAGCAGAGCACGCTCAATGCGAGCAACTCCAATCTATCAACGTATTCGGAGAACAAGAAGAGATCCAACAAGTGGAGCAGCAAGCTGCTGAAGAAGTTTACGCGCAGCAGCACCAAACTGCAGACGCCGTGCTGATTGCCAGGCGGGCGGGAGTAAAGTAGCAGGCAGCTAGCTGGCAACACGTGGCATGCTGCCTGTGTGAATGTGAATTTCCTTAAATTGCGCCCAGTTAAGTGGCATGCGAATCCATTAACCAGTCACCCGGTAACCGACACCGACAACGGCACCAACCACCCTCCATTTAATAGTGATTTTTCGTTTGTAATCGTTAGCCTAAACCTAAAACAAAGCCAACTAACTTAAATGTATTTAGACGCACTTGTTAATCTATGTAAGTCAACAACGAATAAAGACAATATATATATATGTATACATAAACGCACACGAACACGCACACATGTAAAGACAATAATCTATACAATAGTTATAAAGAAAAGAAAAAATATTTAAAACCATATGTAAGCACGCAGAGCAACAACAACAAAAAGTGCCTGGCAAACGAAAACAGAAAACACAAAAACAAACTTTCAAACGAATTGCCAATTGTAAGGTTAATCGAAGCACACACAATTAGCTGTTAGTCACGAGTCTGATAAGTGACTTACTTAATTCAATTAACTTAACAAACAAACGCCCTGCCTTATACAGATACACACTGTCACCCCCTCCCCGATCAGTTTGTTTGCATTCTCGAGTCGTAATCGTGTGTCTCGACAGTCTAGAAAAAAAAATTATAAAATGATGAATAACTTGTGCGCGTTAGATATAGTGTGTGAATTTGATGAATAATGTATATATCTGTACTATATACGACATATACATATATATATTAGTATGTAAAGTATGTGACAGCTGTGTGAGTGTGTGTGTGTGTGTGTGTCTGATAAAGCCGCAGCTTTCGTCACATTTTTTTAAGTAATTGTCGTCGCAAATTGGAGCTGAGCTGAGCAACACAGACACACACACACACACACAACCAGACAGTTAGTACATATGCCTATTTATAAGTCACGCGCTTCTATATAATAACCTGTACTTGCACAACTGGGCTGATATATATAATTCACGAATGGAAACAAAACAAAAAAAAAGTCGCGTGCTCTGGCATGCGCCGTACTTAAACTTCAATTCGATGAATGAGCTAATGTCTGTGTTTGCTTGTCGAAATCGGGCAATAAACATTTAAATATACTGCATATATATATATATGCTAGATAATTGCTAGCGCTCAACCTTTGTAGTTAACGTTAAATGGAAAACGCAAGTTTTTATGTTTTTTTTTTTTGCTTTTCTTGTTAAATAAACAGCGTCCTGTTTCTTTGTGCAATAATTAACTTGAACTCGATCTCGTGTGTCAGTGTGAAATTCACTTTGAGTTTATTTCCGTTCAGGCCGTTGCAATAAATTAATCCAAATTTGTTTAAATTTTTTTTTTTTTTTGTATTTATTTTTCATTTTATTGTTTAAATCGCTTCATAAATAACCGTTTTGTTTTTGGTTTTTGTTTTTTTTTTGTTTACTTTTGTTCATGTTTCTTGTTGTAATCGAATTTTGTTATTGTTTTTGGTTTTTTTTGTTTTTTGTTTTACCCATGGTGAATGTTTACTTGATTCCAATTTTTGTTTTTTTTTTTATGAATGTTTATTTTGTTAGTTAATTTGTTATGTATTTTTTACTTTTGCATGTTTCAAATGTGTTAACCATGCCTTACATACGTGTGTGTGTGTGTGTGTGTGTGTTTCTTTTATAATTATTATAATAGCTCCTTTTACTCGTTTGTGTGTTGTTTCATTAATTTATTATTTTTAAATTGTATTTTGTATGTTTTACATTTACGTTTTGAACAAATGTTTGTTGTTTGTTCTCACAACTTGAGCTTGTTCTTTATTAAACTTTGTTTTGTTTTCATTTTAATTGAATTGTTTTTTTTTCTTTTCTGTTTTTCATTTGTTGTATGTGTATATGTATATTTATTTTTTTTTTGTTTGTTTATTTATTAAGTTTTATTTGCATTTTTAACAAAATTAATAAAAAACAATTCATTATTTGGTTTTGTTTGCTTTCACTTATTTGGTTTTCGTTATCCTTTTTTTAGGTTTTCTTTTTTTTTTATTATTTTTTTGTATATATTTTAATTGATCAATTTATTCGTAATTTGTAATATTAAAACAATGTAACGTATAATCCTGCTCTTGTGTGTGCCTTGGCCACGTTTCCACAACTTTTCAACTATTTTCCACAGCTTGTTGACTTTTCCATTAGCCCAACAGCATTTTTTTTTAGCTTAACTAATGCAAATGATTTTGTTTTCCCTACTTTTGGGAGGGGCTGCTTACATTTGTTTTTCCTTTTTTGTTGGTTTTATCTTATAAATCTAACTGATTGCATTTATACAGAGTGTTACGTGTTAAAGTTAAGTCGGGCTTCTGCCACGGATTGGCTAAAAGTGAAATGAGAACCGTCTCGAACCTAGTTAAAAGTCGGGAACACAAACAAAAAATAAATGTACTACAAACCTGTTTTCTTTGGGTTTCTGTTTTTGTGTTGTTAAGCGCAATTCTTTATAGTTAAATGTTAACAATGATTATGATTATGGAAGTCAGTTGAAGAAGTCAGTTTTCAGTATGGAAAGTTTTGAGTTTTGTATGTTATAAACTGCGACTTGCTCTTATTATAATGTAATGCATTGTATTTTGAGTATGTATAGGTATTTTTTGTTTTTGTTTTGTTTTGTTTTACTTGTAATTTGTTTATATATGTATTTATAATTGTGCACTGCAGCACTTGACTTCTTCATTCTCTCCCTTTCTATTTAATCATGACTCTCTTATATCATATATCATTCTTGTTGCACGTTTTGCTTTTTATTTATTTCATTCTTTTTTGCTGTTGCTTGACTTACTTTGACTTACTAATAAATTAAAACAACGCTAATGAATTCGTTTTTTCATTGGTTTTTTTTTACTAATTGTGAGTTGCTTTTGTTTTTTGTTTTTTCCATTTATTTATTTATTTCTCTGCTATAACTCTTTGTATTTATTATCATTTGTAATCAATTATCGATTTGATTTCCATTTATTTGTGCCTTGGACAAACGCTTGCGCTCAAAAATTTGTTGTTTAGCATTAATCTGTTCTGTCCCACTGCGTGTCGAGGTAGGGAATTTGGGCAGGGGGAAAAAATTCATTTAACTCTGCAAGCACAATCAGACGACGGGAAAACGGGGCGAGACAACTGATTGGGACAAGCTGAGCAGCTGAGCAGCTGAAGAGCTGATAAGCCGAACGGAAATACCCTATCTATAGCTATTTTCATAGTTGATTGAAAGGTGGTTGGGGTTCGAGCACAGATATTATATATATATATATATATATGCGCTTATCGGGGCACTTGACATACTTGACCATATATTTGGTCAGAGTTGGGAGCTGCGCCGAAGAATTTGTACAATTTTTGTATTTTTGCCTTTTTTACAACAATATTCCTATCTTTGTTGTCTCTGTGTCTTTAACCCGGCGAAAATGCTTTAAGGAATTTCGATCGAAACGAATTGGGTTGAATTTTCATTAACAATTTAACATAAGAAATGCAAATTTGTTACAAGTTTTTCTTCATTTTGTTTTTGGTTTTTTGTTTTTGTTTTTTTTTTTTTTTCATTTTTGGCAGTGTTTCATTTGTATGTAATATGTTAATGTTAGTTTGGCTTTTAGACATACTTTATAAACTCTAATTACACAATGCTCGCATCGCTGATATTAAAAGAGGAACATAAAAGGTAGGGTATAGTGGTATGTGTGTGTGCGGTGTGTGTGTGTGTGTGTGTGTGTGTGTGTGTGAGAGTGTGTGTGTGCTCATTGCTATAAAATGTTTGATGATTTCTTTAGGTTTTCTTTCTCATCATCTTGTTCGTCTTCTTCTTGTTTTAGTTACTACAATGTTAGTATAACTACAGTTAATTACGTAATCATCATTAAGCCAGACGATCATTGTGTCGAATTTTCATTTATCATCATTTTCATCATTTCCATGTTCATTTTGGAGCATGTTTAATGCCAAAGTGTTACCCATTTTGGCTGGGTTGTTTGCGACATTTTTGTTAACGTTTTACAACACTACAAATAACGGCAGTTTTGAAATGCTGATTCGAGAGGTTTAACCTTATGTTTTTCATTGTTTTTTTTTTTCTTTTATCCTTATTCTTCTTCTATACTTATAATAGCCTAATAGAATGTTAGGAAACAACATATATGGAAGCCATCGAAAGCAACTGCAAGTAAATTGGGTTCGTTTTTCAATCGAGAATATACCAATGTGCTCTTCAAGGAATACAACTGAGGAACTACACAAAAGTATACATATATACGTATATATATATATATACATTGAATTTGGCCACTGCTATGGTTAGATATAGGTACAGTGAAAGCTCTCTAAGACGAACAACTACGAACTCGAGTTGTTCGTTCAAAAGATATGTCCAGGAAATAACAGGAAAACATATTTGCTAAACAATTAACTAGAATTATATAAATATATATATATATATATTCCTCTGATTATTATTTTCAAACTTAGAACCTAATTTGGCACAAAAATAAATTGCAAAAAGTCTATAGGTTTTCGTTTCCTATAAAAGAAAAGTTGTATTTGCCGCAGCAAGCAGCTTTGGCTATTGTACAAAAAGAAAAAGCAGTAAAATTCGTTAGTTGGAGCATTCACTGTACCTTAGCCAGTGCTAAGCAGATGTTTAGTTAGTTAACAATCGGAGCATTCAGGTGCTCGCTTTTGACAGCTGAGAAATGGTCTGTTTCAGGTGCTTTTTGTGTGTGTTTTTACAACTAAATAAGGCATGCGCTAGGCTGTTTGGCACACAAATGAATAAACGCTAACAACAATCATAATAAAATTTAGCAATAATAATAGTAATAATAATAATAATAAAAAAAAATCAATAACAGAAATACCTGTTGGTTATTTATGTGCATTGTATCGGTTCGTTAATCGAATCGCTTACAACTTGTTGTTTTCCCGGCCAAATGACAAATTCGCTAAATGCTACGAAAAACGTTTCGTTCCTATTGGCTTCTGAATTTGTTATCCTCGCATATCCTCCTTGTTATCCATTATGTTAATTTTCTGTTACTTTTCGTGTGTGTTTCTGTTATCCACTTTGTTTTCCTTACTTCACTATTGTACAATGTGCGGTTGCCGTTTTGTTTTTTTTGTTTTTTTCTTAATTCTTTTATAATTCTTAATAGGTTTTCTTTTATATGTGTGTGTTTGCTTGTGTGTGTGTGTGTGTGTGTTTGCTGAGGGCGTTTTGGGGCGTGGCCGCGTTGCCGCTGCGCGTTTCCTGTCTAAAAATGCGCTAATTATTGATACCTTTTTTATGATCGATTCTCCCATTTGGAAATTTGTTAATTAATGTTTGTTTAGTTTGTTTTTCATTTAAATTCTATCCTCTTCGTCCTCCTCCTCCTCGACCTCCTCGCCGTTCTCCTCGAGCTCCTCCTTGTAGCCAGGATGCTCGGATATGGCATAGTAGTTGCCATTGTAGATGACGCCCAGTTCGCGCAGCGCATCGCCGCGTATTGTCGCCTTTATCGTCCAGTTATAACAATCATCCGACTCGGACTCGCGATCCAGACGCTCAACGTCGAGGATCTTGGAATTGAGGCGCTCCAATATGATGCCGATGTCCTTGATGCTAAGATGGCGCTTCTGGTCGACAGACAGCTGATCGATGAGCAACAGAAACTTCTCCGTCGTCGTCTTATCATCCTCCATCACCGTGTTCTCCGTTTCGCTCTCCGAACTGTCGCGCTCCGGTGCAATGTCCAGGAAGCGCACATGACCCTTGGCGCCCGACGAGCGACGCTGCATGCTGCCGCTGCCGCTGCCGCCTAGCATAGGATCCATAACCGATGAGGACATCGCCAGCGTTGCCTGATGCGCCTGCAGCTGCTGCTGCTGATGCTGCAGCTGCGGCTGCGGACTGCTGCTGCCGTCCTGTATGGGCGAGGTGGCCACGCTCTTGTGCACGGCTATCTTGCGGCCCTCCTCGTGCAGCGCACAGCAATGGAAGTCGCACTCCGTGGTGCTGGGGCTGCCCGCACGGCTGGGCGTGTGCGCATGATGGGCGCACTCGGGCGTATGCACATGTACCGCGCCCACGGCGCTATCAAAGGAGCCGCCCTGCTTGGAGAGGCGGCGATTGCTGCCGGGTATCACAACGCCTGGCGGCAGGACAACGCCGCCCGGATGGTAAATGCTCGCCGGACCCTCGTCGCTGATGACCGTTATTTGTGGGCTGGCATAGCGCGGCTGTGAGGACTGCGAGGACACCGATTTGTTATCCAGCGAACTTTGCGCAGAGAGGCCCTTCTTCGAGGGCGAGTACTTGTCCGATGACAGCAGTCCATTGCTGCTGCCCAGGCCGGCGCCCATGCACATGCCGCCGCCTCCTCCTCCTCCACCTCCACCACCACCACCACCACCTCCTCCTCCGCCGCCGCCTCCACCGCCACCCTGGCGCTGATCCCAGTGCAATACGACCGTGACACGCCCTTTATTATCCATAATCTTCCAAGATGGTGTCTCATCGTGCAGTTCCAGTGCATGGATCGTCTCACAGACGATTTTCGGTATAGCTGATATAGCTGCAAAGTAAATGTGAGCATGTGGTTTGGAGTCTGACAGAGATTAGCTACTTACCAGCCTTTATGACATCCACACCGGTTGGATACCATCGCTCGCCCTGCCTCAACAGCAAGAGTACCGTATTGTTGGCCAGGGTGCGAAAGTATTCGCCATCCTCAATTTGGGTTCCATCACACTCCAGAACAACGCGCACGGGTTCTGAAGCAGGAACCCCCAATTTGTCCTTGCCGCGCACCAATAGCTCCTCAAATGTACCAACTACGACGCCTTTGCGCACATTCCGCCAACTATCCCAAATTTTCAGTGGTCGCTTGCCGCGAGACTCCTGCAAGACAAAAGAATTCAAAGTCAGTGTTGGTAAATGCCATACAGTTAGAACTAGCTCGAGCTAGTTTGGAAATACATTGAAGGTCTCTTTAAGGTTAGTTCCGGTTAAGAGAAACCCGAGAGATCTGATGTATTAAATATTACCATCATTCGATACTCCTGTGAAAACTATACGATATAGTAGGCCCATTTTGATGAGTTTTCGCTTGTATGTAAGAAGAAGACTTTCAATTCCCGTATTTGAACGAGATACTTTGAGAAACAAATTCGTTTTGCTTACAAAATAACATTTTCCACACATATCTCTCTTGATAGAAGCACAGTTAAGCATTATATAAAAGCTACTTAAGCTCGGGTTAGCTTCTTAATAGATACGTGTCTAAAAGAAAACCTGACCTGAGATAACATTAAACAACTCAATAAATCTTCATTTATCACAGCCCGATCTTAAGTAAAGTCTGCCACACAACACGCAAATAAATTAAGTTCAATCTAAAATAATATATGTATAAATCGCCTCACTTTAACGATTCATACAAAACATAGACAAGATGCAGAGAAAAAATAATTTGACCTTGATAACAAACTTGTTTTAAACAAAGTTAAGATGGCATATTAATATAAAACTTAAATCTGTACTAAATCATGCTCCTCAAGTTTAATCATAGCCAGAGTTTACTGTAATAGGCACGCTGTTTAATAAATATAAATAAGTACATACATGTGCACACATACATATGTCAGTTTTTGGGCGTGGGTGTGACACCTGTGTGTGTGTGTGTGTGTGTGTGGGTGTGTATGACAAGTGGGTGTGGCAGGCCCGGGCAGCGTCATAAGTTACGCTACTAATTGAGGTTTGTAGTCGCTAAAAAAGGGCGCAAGTGTCAAGGCCGCTGCCAGCTACAGTTCAAGCAGCAGCTGCAGCTGATATGCCAGTCGATCTGCACGGGATTAGCGCACACAACTACATACACACACACACGCACACTCACACACACACACACACACACTCAAAAACGGTAAGCGCAACAACAGTTTACATTAACCAAAGCGAAATTTTGAGATTTTCATTACATTATTAACAGCGGTCACAGCTGTTGTGCACTAACAGCGCTCTGTTAGCTTAACAGAGCTTTCACTGAAAGCAACATCAACAACAACAACGAGCAGCAGCAGCAGCAGCAGCAGCAGAAAGCATGTTTAATGTATTGCAAGGACATGAGTGTGGCGCTCCAGTGACCCAGTAACGAGTGCAGCACACGAGCTGAATAACAACAAAAAAAAAAAAAAAATATGAAGAGGCACACAAACACCAATACATAGTTATATGTAGACGTAGCGTGCACCCAACCCCGAGCTTAAAAACTATGAAAAATTACATGAAATACTTTTTGACATTTGCTTATTGGACATTTGCGCGAAAAGTTGCTTTTGTCAAATTGGAGTTGGCAGTCGAGCTGCAATTGCAATTGCAGTTTGTAGAGAAGTGTAATCAGTATTACACACACACACACACAAGCACACAACAGGCTGCGAGAGCGGAAGAGGCAGAGTCTTGTGCTTGTATGTGTGCTGCAAGCGCGCATTGGGATAGGTCAAGTCTGCTGCCATATGGCCATCAGCTGCTGCCGCTGCCGCTGCTGCTGCTGCTGCTGCTGCTGCTTTTGCAGCAAAGGGGCGTGTATGTATTTTGAAGGGAGCAGTTAGAAGTGAAGAGGGGGTGGGTGCTGTTGCTGATTGATAGATATGTATGGTTGTATGTAACGGTAATTAGTTATTATCATTGTTTTACCCCAGATGGCGCATTTGTCGCAGCCGTCGGTCCCGTCGTTATGGCCGCGCCAGCATTTTGGTTGGCTGCCGCAGCAGCAGCGGCTGCTGCCGCCACTTGTCTGATGCTCAGGCAGTTGCACAGTGGCTTTGTCACGCCCAGTGTGCACAGAGCATTGGACCACATGGTGGTGGTGTTGCAAGTGCTCGTTTCACCTTTCCCGGCCACTTTAATGCGATTCTGATTAGGCGTTCTTCCAATTAGATGCGATTCGTTTAGTTGACAGCAACAATAACAGCAGCGTAGACAATAACATTAACAACACGGCGCACATCAAATTAACATTTTTATATTATATGTTATATGTTATTATGTTAAATATTTGTTTGTTATTTAGGTTTTCCTCATAAAAACTGTTATATAAAATGCACACACGCACTGTGTGTCTTCTTATTGTTTTTTGTTTTTCTTTTTTTTTTTTTGCATATAGAAAATTATGTTTATAAAACCCTATAAATGCTTATAATGCTCCAAGCTTAAATCTAAGTTAAACGCGTTTTATTGTAGTTGTTTAAATGCCATTTGGAAAATTCGTCGCGTAAGGCTACAAAAATGTTAACAAATTGCTGCGCACATACAAAAAACAAAGCAAAAGACAAGAAAACACAAACACAAAATTGTGTAGTCAATAATAATAGAAAAAACACCGAGTATTAATTATTATCTTCGATAAGAAATTGGCTTTTCGCTTGTTTTTTTTTTTTTTTTTTATTTTGTTGGGAACTTCTTTCTTGATTTCGTTTTTGGGCCACAGCAGCAGCAGCTGGCCTGGGCTGGGCAGGCGCCAGAGTTGTCAAGAGTTGACCTTCGCACTTTCACTTTACTACACTTGCGTGTGCCTGAAACCGCCGAGTTTTCATTTGGTGGGGGGGGTTGGGACAACTGGGGCTGAGGTTGAGCCTGAGCCAGAGGCTGGGGCCAGGTGCTCGGAGCCTGCGTTCGATTTCAGTTTGTGTGGCACAGTTTTCGTTTTCTTTTTTTTTTTTTTTTAGCACATTTAACACAAGCTTTGGTCTGTTGAAATTTGTACAAAAATGATTTGTAGCTGCTGCTGCTGCTGCTGTTGCAGTTGTCACGCCCAGTTAAAAATTTAATATTTTAACAATGTGCCAGCGGAATCGCGTAGCTTGTGTAAAGCGCTCGTTAACGAAAGTAGCATCCTTGCTGGCTGTGGCTGGCTGCCTGGCACACACTGGCTGCCTGCCTGCTCCTGTCTCCCGTTAACAGACTCTGTTAAGCGCTGCTGCTGCTGCTGCTGCTGCAGCTGCAGAATGCAATGTCAAAGAGAGCATGAGAGCGAAAGTTGCGAGTAAAGCTCGTGAGCGCATTTGCTATGCATGCATGTGTGCGTGTGCGTGTGTGTGTGTCACTCTGTTATTGCGTATTTTGTAGTAAATTAAATGTTAACGCGTAAGCTACTCGACTGCACTGTGCGTTGCAACTCTCTCACTTCTTGCTGCACACACACACACACGCACTCTCTTTGCCAGTAACATCTGTGCTTTGGCCTACATTTGGAATGTGATATAATCAGGGCGCGCTAAAGCTAACAGCTAACAAAACGGGCGGGCGCACACACGAACGCTCCACAAGTATTCAGGATTCACAGTGGCTCACAGTTAAACAGCGCCCGACTCCAGCCGCCGCACAAATGCCAGAAGCTCTGTCAATTAGGCACACACACACACACACACATACACTCAGTCACATTCACACACAGGTGCACAGTTATGTGGGGACGCTGAAAAGTTGCACAAGGTTGCAATTGGCTCGCTTTCATTTTCATTTGGTTCGCTCCGCTTTGCAGCAGTTGATTTAAGCAAAGCAGCGCATTGGGTAAACATTTATTTTGAATCAAAATCCTTTGAATTAAGTTTGTCTATTTGTAAATCGACAGCAGGACACAGTCAACATTCTGAGCGCCTAATTACGTTTGCATATTAAAAGCGCTAAAAAGTATGCTATACGCATACAAATAAAGCAACTATTGCGCTACTGCCTAGTTTTTTAAATATTAGCTGTACATAAAAAACCTACACCCATATCTACTCCAAATTATCTTCAAAAAGTGTTCATCTTGTCATAATTTAAATACTGCCGCAATTGGCATATTTTTTAGTCGAAGCGCTGCGTTGAGAGCAGCGACATATTGCAATTTCATGTGCAGCAGCTCTCTCTCTCTCTCTCTCTCTCTCTTTGGCTCTCTGTGCAGCGTTGCCAGATGTAAGAAAGAATAACATTTTAAGCCAAAATGTTAACAGCGCCTTAAAGCTGCCTATGTTTTGGAATGCTTGCAAAAATACAATAAAATATTTCAAATTTGCTTCTTACAAAGTGCTAGTATATGAAAAAAAATGCGTGCCTAAATGTCCAAGGATTTGTATGCTTAATATAAATCCACTGAAATTGCAACTGTATTTAAGAGCAATGTAATCAATATGTAGGTCATGTGCGAGTGCTGCTAAAGCCGCCCGCCCACAAGCTTAATGCAGACTGATATGGGAGTGTCATTAAGTGCAACTCGTTGCATTCAAACAAATATGCACAAATATGTGTGTGTTTGTATGTTGGCGTAGGACTGTTACTAAAATTTTGGATACTCGCTGGGAACCAAAAAAACAATAATAACAAGAAACCCGCAGACCACATGTATATAAACAACAACAAATAATATCTAAAGTAAATGTACGAAACGCAGAGCATCAACAAAAGCTACATGTGCACATTCAGTAGGGTGTATTACCATAGTTATTTGGGTCAAAGCTATTCACTCAGCCGCAAAGCAAAACGAAACGAAATGAAGAAACTGCATATAGCGTGCACACACACAGACACACACCGACATACGCACACACACACACACACACATGTGTACGCACATAAAATGCTTAACGGGGGCTTAGACCCAAAGCCAACGCAGCTCAGCGACTAAGTTGAAAACAAATGAGCGGAGAGTTAAGACAGGCCGGAATTGGGAAACAACTGTAAATCGAAACGATAGGTGGAGAGTGGAGAGAAATGTTACTGCTACTGTTACAGTTTTATGTTAGAAGTAACGGACAAAAACAGTGTGTATATGTGTATAATATTTTAATTCACAAGCAATGCATAACTATGTATGTATGTGTGTGGGCCGGCACCCCCGCACTTATCGCCTTACGCCATTTCGCTTAGCCCGCAAGAAATCTCACTTACCTCTCTGGCCATTACGACATGTCTCAAAAGCAGGGCCCGCTTAGAGGGTCTGCCATTTGCGTTGGCTTCAACGGCAACAACAACACGTCCTCTGCTTCTGCTTCTGTCTCTGCCGCTGCGTCGTCGTTGTCGACGTGGTCGTTGGCGTTGTCGCTGTCGTCGTCGTCGCCGTCGCGTCTGTCGTCCTTTGGCGGCGGCGGCTAACAGGAACAGCAACACCAACAACAACACCAACTGTGCACGGCTTACACTTTTCGCGCATACGATTCTCTGTTTGTATGTATGTCTGCGTAAGTGTGTGAGTGTTTGTCTGTATGTATGTCCGCACAGCGTTGGCGTTGGCGGGTGGCGGTGAGAGGGCACTCGCTGGGGAGAACGGCGGCAGTGGGCGGTTGTTGGTTTGTGTGTGTGTGTGTGTGTGTGTGTATGTGTGTGGAGTGTGCTTCAAAAATTCTCTACTACACGTTTATTTTCAATCTTTCCGCAACGCGCCGATGCTGTGTGCTGCTCTGCTGCTGCTTCTTCCTTTTGACGTTCCTTTTTGGCACCGTGCTTTCTCTCTCTCACTCTTTGGCTCTCTATGCCTTTTTTGTGGTGTATGTGCATGTAGGTGTGCGCGTGTGTGTGTACATACGTACATATGTTGGTGGTGGTGCTGCTGCTGCTACTGCTGCTGCTCCTGCTGAGTGTGTATTGGTATTTGCCTTGTACAATTTGATTATTTATTTAAACAATTCTTTAATTAATTGCTTTGCTATAGCACGAATGCTGCCACTTATCACTTTTATATTATATTTTGCATTTAACTACGTACACCTACACCCACTATAATACACACACACACATATCGACATATATGTACGTAGGTGCGGCTGCGATGTCGGCGAAGATTTGCTGTTGGCAGTGTTTGTGTGCGTGTGTGTGTACCGTTATCATTTTATTCACATTGAACACATTTTTGAATCCGATTTGCAATTAATTCTCGCGTTTGTTGATTATTTATTGTTTTTCGTTGGCAATTAGAACAACAATAAAAATGGGCACATGAGCAAAATCTTAAAGGCGCACACGCACACATATGTACATACAGGACACGCTTAATCTCTTGGTTTGCTTCTATTTTCTAGTATTGGTAGTACCCACGCCTTTCATTTGTCACTTTTCACTTGATTCAGGCGAGCTGCGCGTTGACTTCTGTTTGCGAAGATTTTCAAATGAATTGTAGTATCAATATTTTTTGTTCAAAGCACGCAACTAATGCAGTTTAATTACAAAACAAACACATTTTAACAGTCAAAAGCACAGAACAAACACGCAAATCAATGCTCCGCTGAGGCCCAGTGCTAAAAACGGCTAACCGTCACGTTGCTGAACACTGAGGCAACATCGAGTTCTAACAACACTGATATTAATCGTGCAGCTTATTCGCCATTTAACAGAAATACTGCACCCCTAACAGAATTGCCAAATAAGGTAAACTGGCGCTAGCTCAAATGTATTAGAGAATGTTGGGATCCTTTAAAAACCAACAAGGCTAATACAAATTCAACTAAAACCACAGTTTATTTAAGGAAAATATACCTCAGCTATCGTTGAAGCATCACTCGACGAGCAACAAAAATAGGGCAATTCAAACTTGTGTGACCAATTGAAAATTCCAATCGGAACATATTCGATATACTGAAAAAGGAAAATAATCGTCGTCCGATATATTACATTTATTTCGCCATCCCTGGACGGCAGCCGAAACTTGCTTAAAATTTTACACAAAATTACGTGTCTCGATTGGAATTTCGCAATATGGTTGACAATCTACCGCCCCTAGAACCCAGTCTGCAAAACCTGGTCGAACAGGAATCTCTAAAATGGATATTCGTTGGCGGCAAAGGCGGCGTGGGCAAAACAACCTGCAGGTGAGACAGAGACAGTCCCAACAGCAGCACCAGCAGCAGCAGCAGCAGCAACAACAACAACAACTTTAATGCCGTGCAAATCCAATTAATCCATCCGCAGCTCCAGCTTGGCCGTGCAATTGGCGAAGGTGCGTGAATCGGTGCTCATCATCTCCACAGATCCGGCGCACAACATATCCGATGCATTCGATCAAAAGTTCACCAAGGTGCCGACTAAGGTGAATGGCTTTGACAATTTATTTGCCATGGAAATCGATCCGAATGCGGGTCTCAGCGAGCTGCCCGACGAGTATTTCGATGGCGAAAACGAGGCATTGCGTGTCAGCAAGGGTGTCATGCAGGAGATGATCAATGCGCTGCCCGGCATCGATGAGGCCATGAGCTATGCCGAGGTAATGAAGCTGGTAAAGGGCATGAACTTCTCGGTGGTGGTATTCGATACGGCGCCGACGGGACATACGCTGCGGCTGATCGCATTCCCGCAGGTGGTCGAGAAGGGTTTGGGCAAGCTGCTGCGTCTCAAAATGAAGCTGGCACCGCTACTGACGCAGTTCGTCTCCATGCTGGGCATGGCCGATGTGAATGCGGACACATTGTCACAGAAATTGGACGACATGCTGCGCGTCATAACGCAGGTCAATGAACAGTTCAAGAATCCGGTGAGCACTGGCCAAATCATATGTTCCAAGTCGCACAACTCATGTATCTTTTTGCAGGATCAAACCACATTTGTTTGCGTATGCATTGCCGAGTTCTTTTCCCTGTACGAAACGGAGCGTCTGGTCCAGGAGCTAACCAAATGCGGCATCGATGTGCACAACATAATTGTCAATCAATTGTTGTTTTTGGGCAAATCGCATAATAGCTGCAGCATGTGCGCATCTCGTTACAAGATCCAGGAGAAATATCTCGATCAGATTGCAGATTTATATGAGGACTTCCACGTAACCAAGCTGCCGTTGCTTGAGAAAGAAGTGCGCGGCCCGGAGAGCATTAAAACATTTTCGGAAAACCTAATGATACCCTACAAGCCGAAAGAAACGGCGCCTATGTAGGCATTTGTTTGTATGCATCGTTCTAGTTTGTAAGATTTTTGATGAACTTATTGTGTATATGTGGTTGCATGAAATATAAAAACCCAAATATGGTCTGGTGTCGCTTGCAGTCAATTTAAAAAATGCGGCTGCCTATTAAAGATTTATCGATATATTGATTTCAACTAAATCTGTGCAGGGTCACTCTGAAACAATCAGTGCATTCGATATGCCTGATTAAATATCGATAGCAAGTGGCACTAATTTGAATGTTTATATCGAGCACTTTAGTCATCTCTAAGTTTTATTTTGCGTCGTTTTGTTTGCTGCACAGCACTTTCGGGTTTTTGTTTTCTTCGTTGTTTTTAAGTCCTTGTCAAATGTAACACTACACTTAAACTTAGACCATTTCCAATCGCTAACAAATCTTAGTTTTTAACAACTATATCTGCCTGCTGCACACGCGCAACAACCAAACGAATTTCCTCAAGGACTTCTAGGACTGCACAACGAAGGCAAACAGGTGAGTTAGCTGTCAGTTAATTGAGCGCCAAACTGGCTCTAGCTCTGTGTGTGTGTGTGTGTGTGGGTGAGTTTGTATGCGATCAATAATACAACAATAGCCACCCCACAACACAAACAATCACCCACAATCGCCAACGCCACAACAATGTGTAATAATAATAACTACAACAGAATTTACTGCTGTTGTGCTTCTTTCATTTATAATATATATACACACACACACACACACAAGCGATAAAGTTGGACAACATTCATATGTGCTGATTGTTGTTGCTGTTGTCAACTGCCGCGTCGTTTGCGCATTTGCCTTTATGCAGCAAACGGCACATCCGCTTGAGCCGAATGCCACATTTGTCCTTGGCGAAGCCTCCTTCCTGGGGGCCATATCCATTGCATGTCGCGTGACCTTAAGCTATTTGCCAACGGCTCGACTAGAATATGCATATATATACGTATATAGATATTTGTCCAGTGTGTAGGGTGTTTGCTTAATTAAATTGGTCGCGAGTCGACCCATTTTTGGGGCTAGCTCCTTTTATGGCAACGGGCACGTATGCACCGTTAGAATAAACCAATAGAGAAAATTCCGTCAGTCGCATGAGGCGACACAACTTCCAATCAGTGTGTGGGGCCATTATTCACTCGACACTATCTTGAGATGTTTGAGGCAGCCTTTTATCAATAAGATACGCGCTCGTTACAGTGTTGCCAACTGTTGCTTTTAAAAAACAGCTAAATTCAATGTAAAAAATGCTAAAAATAGCGGAATTAGCTTGCTGCACAAAGTCAAAAAGTTGAGTTGCTGCGAGAAAAAGCTAAATTCACTCTTAGTCGAATTTGGCCGGAAATAAGCTGAACTGGCAACGCTGCTGCATTGGAATTCCCCAATTAAGTGTGTGCGTGTGTGTGTGTGTGTTGTTTATATGTATGTAATTCTTTATCAAACTGCATTGCTTGCTACTGGAAAGAGACAACAACAAAATGTCCGTCGCAGGCTTAAGACAGAGCCTATTGCTCTGGAGCGTTGACTACTGGAATCTGGAAGGTAAATTGAGAGATTTCCATAAAGTTAATTGATCTTCGGTTCAGTTTCAACTCTTCAGTTTCATCTGTTTTTTTTTTTTAAATTTGATTTACAATTCAAATAAGCTAAGCCCAACTAATAATGCCTCCCATGTTGCAGCTGTTATGGCGGACAATGTGTTCAAGTCGCACGATATTGGGTTACGCGCTCAAAAGAAAATACTCTCACGCATGGCAACGAAAAACATTGCGAAAACCTTTATTGACGGCACAACGGCCTCGCTGCTGGATAATCTGTACAGGCTGTGCAAGCTGCATACGGGCAATAAGGCGCGCGCCGAAAAGCTGATCAAAAATATTATCAAAATTGTTATTAAAATTGGTGTGCTGCATCGCAATAACCAGTTTAGCGCGGAGGAGCTGCAAAATGCGGAGAATTTCAAGCGTAAATTTCAGGTAAAGTACAAACACACACCATAAACATTTAAATGATAAGTGCGATTGTCTTTTGCAGAACACACAATTGTCCATCATATCGTTCTACGAGGTGGACTTCACCTTTGATCTGGCCTATCTGCAAAAGTCGATACAGGAGTCGCGTGTGGCGCTCAAATCGATTGTGCAGCCGCATTTGACGGACAAGTCCATTGGCCGCATCGACGAGGTGTTCGATTTCTTTGGCGATGCGGGCTTGCTGGAGCTGGCATTCAAACCGGATTCGCCATATCGCGAGGTGATGGGCAAAATTGTCGCAGACATTAACTCGGCCATGGAAACGGGCGACATATGAGCAGCAGAGGCAAGCTGCAAGCTATTGACAAAAAAAAAAGGGGCTATTATCAAACCAAAAACAACATGAGATACTAACAGCTAGTTAAAAGGCCTACAAAGTCCACCAAATAGAAAGTAACGTAGCGCGGCATAAAAGACACAAGAAATTGAAGAAAGAAGAGCGAAAAGAGGATTATTCCTTAATTGAATTGGTGATAACACAATTAACACTATTATGTAGCAGTCAAAAACGTCCAGATTGATTTAATTTAAGGCAATGTTAACATTTTTTTGTCGTTTAGATTTAAGAAGAAATGCATTTTGCCAAAGGAATTCACAAACAAACAAACAAACAAACTCAGATTGTAAACGCAAGCAAAATGCTTTTTATCAATGTATTTGTCGTTGATTGTATTCGTGTACGTTATAAGTATATGTAAAAGTCTGTCTAAATATTGTAGTCTAATATTTGATACATTTGTCTGTTTTGATACTCCAAAACTCGCTCTTGAAACGCAATTATATACTCGCTTCATATCTAAGAACTTATCAAATATCTATCTATATAATTGTATGCGTATTCACCGCGTATATATTGCCCTGTACTTAATATCCTTTTATCAAATTTCTGCTGATCTCCACAAGAGTTTCCTATCGAGCGAATTGTTGCACCCATATGAACGGAGTTTAAGCCATTGCATATTAAATTGATTAAAATTGATTAGTTAATACACATTCTAGAGTTGTTTGTAAACCCGATTTACGTATGTATTCCAGCCTCATGGCCACAGGCGTGCGGTTCAATAGCCTTAAGCACACTATTTATGATATTACCCCTCCCCAAATTGTTTATCCAATTAGATATTTAATGTACCCATAACATATCAAAAATATCACTTGAAATGTGCAACACAATATCATATATATATATATATAGATAGTTGAACGAGACAAACAGAATCCGTGGCACATATTTTCGATATTAGTGTTGATGTTTAGATTTTTAAAACATGTATTTATTTGTTTAGAAAACAAATTTATGTTGACTCCCAATAAAAGCAACAGCAATGATAATTATAAAACTCAACTAATGACTTACATTATTTGCCTAACAACTTCACTCGGCGCGTTTCTGCTCCAGCACATCGACGCCGTCGGCGCCTGCCTCCAGTTTCTGCTGCTTGAACAGCTCGATGAGCTTCTCGGTGGCCGTTTGCGGCACATCGAACGGCTGGGATGCTTCGGTGCTTGGGTAGGTTTGGCTGTGTGCATCGGGAGATCGCAGCAGAAACGGTGTCCAGGGTCCTTGTATAGACGGCACATCTGTGTGCCACATTTTGCGCAGGCGCAACGAGCTGGAGCTGCCGTTTTGCGTCTTCAGCAGCTCAATCCATTTGGTTATCTCGGCCTGTGTGCTGTTCCGGCAGCTCAGCCATTCGCGATCGCCATTCACTAAGGAGTTGTGTGTGCAATGCACATTAATATTATATTGCATGCCTTCCATACGGCAGCTACTTACGGTATTCGCCCACGAGAACAGGTGTGCGATGGCGTCGTGGTTTCACATAGACGACAATGCCGGGATTCTCCTTGGCAAAGTCCACCAAATGGTTTTCAATGAAGTCCCTTATCAATGAATTAGGTGTTGCACATAAGCACTATACATGTTTTGTTTATTTTTGCTTACCGCATGCCGCGACTGGAGCCGTTGTTCTTGCAGAACTTCAGTGTGAGGCGCTGCAGCTGGCAGACATAGCGGCCGAGGCCATTTTGTAGGGGTGCGCGCGGAAAACCGGATTTAAGAAACAGATGACTATTTGACATATTAAATGATTTTTAATCAAAATGCAGCCGTAGTTTCTGTTTTAATACAGACTTTCTCAATTTTCGTAACCAAAAGCGACGTAACCTCACGCCGTGTACAAACTGTCAGCTGTTGCTGCTGCTCTTAGACAGGGTTGTTCAACAGAGCTAAAAAAAGGGGGGGGGAGGGAAGGCAGTGTGCGAATAAGCGCATCAAATAAATAATTGCAAGGCGATAGCCCTAATTAAAAACAGGAATTAACGCATTTGCATTTGTTTGTGTGTTACAATGAGCTGGTAAAGTGAAATTGCAGTTGTTGCTGCTACGCACAAAACTCACAAACCGGTTTTCGTTGAGTGCGTGACACTGTGCGTCTAGCGTTTAACAGCCCTGCTTATTATAAGCGGCTGATAACGGCGAAAAGCGGCACGAAAGAGAGAGAGCGTCAATTTTGAATGCAGCAGCGTCGCGTCGTTTTTCTTTTGAGTTCGGAAAAAAGAAAAGAGAATTAGAAAACGTGCAACGTGTTCGTGGAGCGGGCACTGCGGCTGCATTTTCAATTGATTGCATTGCCTTATCAGTGAATTATTTAGCACAGTAGCACGATAATGGCCACAGTGAGTTCAATTTATAAATACATTTAGCCATTGCAATCTAATTGTAAACAAATCCCGGTCCACAGACTATTGCAGGTTCTAGGTACCCGCAGCTTTGCAAGGCTGCTGCAGTCAACAACAACGACGATGGCGACGATGATGATGAGGAGGAGGAGGAGGAGGATGAAGACGAGGAGGAGGCAGATGAGTCGGGCTCGACCAGCTCGTTTAGCTTACAGGAATGCATAAACGAGTTTCGTGCGCGCCGCATCAGACGTGTCTCCACGCAAAGCCGTGGCGAGGAACCAATAGATGCTACCGCAGCAGCACCCATCGCCGCCGATACGCATCTAATCAACCAGAATCTGTGCAACAAGGCGCAGGAGCGCCGGGGCAAACCGTGCAAGAACGGTTTCTGCTATTGCTTCACCAGCGACAGCGGCGACTGCGCATCGACGGCGCCGCCACGTGCCGCGTGGCACGTGCGTCAGCACAAACGCAGCAGGCGCTCCGAAAGCAATAAGGTGCGCTGTGAACCCTGCCGAATCCTCGTTTCAATTCAGAACAATTCACATAACTAACAACTAATATATGCTGCGTTTTTTCATACAGGTTGGCGTGGCACAGCCGCCGCCGAACAATCTGAATGGACAGCAGCGCCAGCAACCGGTTCAGTCACATCGCCACAAGCAGCCGGCCCTCATTGCGGGTCACACCTCCATAGCCAGCAGCCCGCTGACCGCTGTCAGTAGCCTGCACGCCGTGGGCGAGAATGCGCCGCTTATACACATTATACAAGAGCTGCGCGACAATTGTGTCATTTCGGAGGTGCGCGTCAACAGGGAGCAGCTTGCCCGTGCCAGCGCCAGCAATTCAACAGCAGCCAAGCTTAAAGTAGCTGCTCCAAAAATGCGCAAGACCGAATGCATAGACTATGCTCCCACGGCGCCCGTGCTCTCGAACATAAGCGAGCAGGAGACGCCGCCGGAGGAGAGCGAGCAGGCCTTGCAGACGGGCGGCAGCCTGCAATCGACACGGCGCAGTTCGCGTCGCAGTTCCAGCGGCGCAGGCGGGCGACTGCTGCAGAAGCGCCTCTCCCACGGACAGGTGAACTTCAAGACGCGCGACATGGAGCTGCCGCCGCCAAAGCCGCCGCGCCGCAGCTCACAGAGTCTCGATGGTAAATTGTCGCTATCATCGTTGAGCTCGACGACGCCGTCGGTGCGCGATGCCGAGCGCGTGTTGGATGAATTTCTGCGCAAGCATGGCGTCAAGCTGCCGGCCACAAAGCTGGAAAACTTGCCCAAAGCCAAGAGCAAGCGCAAATCCTATCCACTGGGTGAGTAAAAGGCGCACCAAAATAACTATTAACAAAGGTTTTGGCTATATTAGCTTTGCTATAACTATTTGGTAGTTAGTTTTAATGCTTTTCAGCTTAATATGCAATTTAAATTGTAGAAATAAATCAAATATATGGCTTTGATATATTCATGTGCTTCACTATAATATTGCTTGCACACTCTTTCAGCTGAAATTGAGAAAGCCGAGCGCATCGCTCCATTGCCCAGCTGCCCCTCGCTGAGCGATATTGAGCGCGTGGTGGAGTCCAAGCGCGGCGCGCACTATGTCAAAAACATACACATGGCCAGCCGCAAGAGCGCCGTGGCCGATAAACCGCTGAAGGAGTTCACGCTGGGCTGGACGGAGCCCAAGATCAACGATATGTTGAACTATGACACGGCCAAGCGGGCGCAGTTCAAGACGCACGCGGCAGAGCCAGCGCCTCAGGTGGCCAGCAATGTGGGCTGGCTGGCGCCAAAGATCTCGCTGGATACGGTTGATGGCGTTAGCGATAACCTGGCCGTCAACATGCAGCAGAAGCACACGCCCATCAAATATCCACGCCTGCCCGCCAGCAAGCACAGCAGCAGCCAGAAATTCATTTGGGGCGAACAGTGGCGACAATTGACGCCCTGGAGTGCCAATGGAAAGCGCACCGGACTGCGCAAGAAGTCCAAAAACTTTCTGAACAATTCCAAAAAGAAAATACTGCGCTTTGTCTCGCCCAAGAAGAGCAACCAGCAGCAGCAGCAGCAGCGGCAGGACCCAGAGCTAAGCGAGCGCCGCCGACCCACGCCGCGTCTCTGCACGGTGGGCGTCCAGACATCCGCCTCTCAATTGGATTTGCAGTCGCAGTCACAGTCGCCGCCGGGCAGCTATCATTCGCCCGTGCAGTCAACGCCAACAGTTAGCGCCAGACAGCATCAGTACAAGACTAGCTCCGAGCAGCCCTATTTTGATTTCGAGCGCAAGGTCAAGCCGCCAACGCCGCCCAAGAAATTGCCGCGTACACAGCGTCCGCGCAAGCTGAACTTTCAGTCAGCGGACAACAATCCCGCGACATATCGCTCCTTTCACAAGGAACTCGATCAGGATGTGACCATCACCAAAATGGGCTATCTGCTGGGCAGCATACGCGCCAAACTGGAGGCCAGCGATGAGCGCGCCCAGCGCACATTTCGGGTAAGTTCTCCTACTCTCATTTATTTATTTTTATATATACAGTTAATTTGGTGGCCTTTATTGATGGGGAAGACAGTTAAATGCTAGGTCAGTGCAAAGATAGCGCCAAGTGCATAGTGATCGGAGCCAAGATAGTGATTCGGTATGTTGCCCACATTCGAGCAACAGTTGATCGTGGGCAGCCTATAGATGCTGAGCACCTGCAGCTTTTGCTTGTTCTGCGGGCACACCGAGTGCAGTATATAGTCAACGGTGATCCAGTTATCCTGAAACGTGGACGCCGTATATTCACCAAAGTCCAATGCTTCAAAGTTTAGCGCCGGATCGTCCACAGCTATGGTCGTTAGCAGCTCCATGGGCGGCGCATGTAATTCCGAGTTAAAGTCGCCGGTTAGAATGACGGGCGTTGGGTAGGCTTCGTCGGGCTGCTTCGCATTGGCATCTATGGCAAAGCTGCGCAGCTCCGACAGCAGCTTGGTCACCTGGGCGCAGCGCACATCGTGCCGTTTTGGATTGTAGAGCAGATGCGTTGTGGCTATGATCACCTCCTTGGGCTCATTTATGACTTTTGTCTGGCCGACCGGCTTCAGTCGGAATTTGGCCAACAGCGCCACATTCTCACGATTCAGCAGCGGCACATTCGCATCGTAGAGCTCCACGCCCTGCTGAGCGAGCAGCTGCAGTTTGCAGGCATCGTAGATGATGGCACAGCCGTCGGTTCGACTGCCTGTCTTTTTTTTGTACACGTACTCCAGACGCTTGCCGCTGCTGGCTGTCAAACGCTGCACTAGCATGGGCAAATGGTCGTATTGCATCTCCTGCAGGCAGAGTATGTCCGGATCCAGTTTGTGTATCTCGCGGTGTAGACTTTGAAGGCGCTGCTGCCAGGTCAGCCATTGCTGTTTGATGTTTACGTAGAGGAATAGGTGCTCCATGAGCAGATCCTGCGCGAGTATGTTGTACGACAGCAGCTTGATTCTGGGATGCGGATTAGCCTCAAATTTTGGTGTTAGCGTCCATTTGCGGTTGTAGTCGTAGGGTTGCTCCATTTTACGGGCTGGCTGGCGCCTACTGTACAGGCCTCTGCGAAAGATTTGTATACTCATGTTAAGGGGTCGGAACGGGGATTTGGACATCTCATGCAAGTACAAGGATACGACAGTTTTCCAATGTTTTTGATCCCCTTTCCGACCAAAATATGAAAACAGCGCCAGCCAATCCAGTCCTACGCAGTCTTGTTATTGTGACCTTCGATATTTATTGCTAATTGCCATTCACAGTGCGATATATTGCTTTTTTTTTTTATCGAACATGTAATTGTGTATATACCAAATGAACTGGTTCAAATATATCAATTTGGTTCGTTATCGAGCATGTTGACAAGGCGCGGGTGAACTGGTTCAATTATTTAAATTTTGTTCGCTAAGCAAAACCTAGTTGGTAAACTCAATAACATTAATTAACTTAGTTCGCCTAACTTAATTACTTTTTTGTGAGTACCACGTTTAAAACTGGAATGTAACATGTTTTAGGAGAGTTCACGTTACACGCCCGTGGAGCAAACGGAGCTGCCATCTGATGGTATCGACTGCACCGATTCATCCAGCAACCGTTTGCAGCGCTCGGCAACAACCACATTGCGGCCGCGACGTGATGTACACCGCGAACCCATTTACTCCGAGATTGAAGAGGACTGCATGGTCATAAGCGGCAGTCCACAGTTTGATGTGAGAACAGAAGCGCAACTGGAGGTGGCGCCAACGCCGACGCCCACGCCCACGCCCACAACAAGTGCAACGGTGACTGCAACAATCAGCGAGCCAACGCCCGTGTCGTCACCTTTGCCATATCAGAAACAGCCAGCTGCAGACCTCAACGCTCTGTATGCGCAAGTGCAAAAGGCCAAGAAGGCGGCGTTAAAGCCAACAACGACGCCAAAAACAACTGCGGCGCCGCCCAAGGCACTGGGCCACTTTCTGCAGGAATCCCTGTTAAATGGCAGCTTCTTTCAGTTTATGCCGCTGCCAGATGAGCCAAGCAGCGACACCTCGTACACCATGTCCACCTCGAAGTCCATCAATGACGCGACGGAGCAGGCGACGCTGCCAATGCATCAATCGCTGAACAACATAAACGAACAGCACTCGCCGCCCAAAAAGAATCGCAATCTTTCCAAATCCGAGCTATCACTGCAGCGCAGTGAGATATTCCTAGAGAATTTGTGCCGCAGCGAGATGGTGCTGGACCACGATGACAATCTGCGCCTGGAGAAGGTGCAAAATGTAGGTGATTGCCAGATCAATGATCAATTTATTATGCTAACCTCTTGACTACTTGTAGACCTGCCTCCGGGCGAATCCGGCTGCAGCCGCTGCAGATGATGTGTCCTACGATATGCCAATTGAACTATACGATGACTATGTGCTGGAGGACGGCAATGCTAGCGGCAGCTCCTTTGCCACAAATGGGCAGAGCCAGTACGGCTCCGTGCAGCTGGAGCCGCCGCCGCCATCCTCGGATAATCAGAGCACGCCAAAGAAGCAGCAACAGCAGCGCTTTACGACTAAGGTAGAGATTTTTGTTGATTCCTATTAGTAGCTAAGGCTCTTCACTGTACACTATCATCGAACCGAAAACCCATTATAAATATAAGCTTCATGCGTATTTAGTTATAAACAAAAACCGCTTTCTGCTTCTTCTTTGCTTCATACCACACTTCAAATTGTTAATTACCTGTTCACAAATATGTAATCCGTTGCCTTGCGCCATTTTTCAGGCCACACGCGAGCTGTGCATCGATATAAACGATGGCCCGTCTGTGTCGGGCCATGCTGTCAGTCACAGCTGCCCGACTACTCCGCAGCAGCAGCCGCCCGGAAATGTGAAGCTGGCGCACAGCAGCCTCGACGAGCTGGCTCAGAGGCCGGGCAATGACAGCCAGTTGCTGTCAGTGAGCACATTGGCGCGCTATCGCCTGCTCAAGGATGCAGTGCGTCGCTCCTATCGCAAGGGCAAAGACTTCTTGCTGGCCGAGAAGCAGCGGCTGACGCAAAGTCTCAGTCTGTCGCGCAATCAGGCCAATCAAACTGAGTGCGAACTGGACAGCAGCAGCAGCTACTATGCCAGCTTCAATCTGGACTCGCTGCTCAACGAGTCGCTGACGACGAACGAGCAGCTGGCGCAGGCTGTTAGCATTTGCCGTCAAATGCCCGAGCTGGAGATCTCCGCCGAAATGGTGGAGGCGGAACGCCTGCTGCTCTTCAACACGCTGCAACGAAAGTCCGCGCCGTTGGGGCTCAGTGAGGCCACGCTGGCCGCTCGGCAGCAATGCCAGTCCCTGCTTCTAGACGGCTTGCATTTGCCTGTAAAAGCTGACGTTAGCCAGGACATGTTCTTCAACTACTACTACATCTGCACCGTAGAGTGCGAGGGTCGCATACGCTCCACACAGTCCATTGAGTGCCAGAATGGTGCCGCAGTCTTTCGCGATTGTGGCCTTGAGTTCTATAGCAGCGGGCCGGCGGAGGCGCTGGAGTTGCGCTGCCAAATCTTCATGCTGCGTCTGCGCAAGGTATCGACGTTATCCCTGGAGCCGGCCAAGACGCTGCTGGTAAGTAACGGGCTGGTCTTTTTTCCATCCTTACTCACAAACTCTGTCCTCCCAGAAACGTGGCAGCGGCAGCCTTGGCTCTGGCAGCTCCAGCAGCTCCTCGCAGTGTGATCAGATCGTATCGCGTTTTCGTCTGCACGCCTCATTCACACTGAAGGCCGCCGACCTGGCACCCTACGAGCTGGTGGCCAGTGAAACGCAACCCAGCGACAAATTGTGGCTGCGCACCTCGCGCACCTGGCAGCTGCCGCTGACGACGCACACAAAATCCACGAATTTAATGCCACAAATTGCGCTGAGCGGTCGCGTCGAGCTACGCCTGCCCAAGTCCCAATATGCGGGCTATCTCAATGTGCAGGATACGGATCCCAAGAACAAACACAACTGGAATCGTCGTTGGTGCACGCTCGACGGACTGCACCTGGCCGTTTGGCAGCACGAACACAATCTCAGCGGAGAGCCGCCGCTGCTGTCCATGCGGCTGGAGGAATGTCGCCAGGCTCAATTAGATGTGGCGCCACGTGAGCTGTGCGCACGTGCGCGCAGCTTTTGGCTGCAGTGTCCCAATGGTGAAGCCTTCTTTGCGACCGACACGCAGGCGGAGCTGGTCGAATGGCTGCGGCAGCTAAACGAGACTCTAGCATTTGCCAGACGTTGGTTGAGTGCCTCTTAGCAATTAGCTTATATTATTTATATTTCATTATATTTTTATATGTTTAGTGTTAGACTTTATAATTGTACTTTTGGTTATTTAGTTTGGGTTTGTTAACGTTTGCCATGCAAACTTAAGCTGAAAGTGTAATATCAAATGCTTTGTCTAGTCTAAGCAACACTCACATTCATACAGACTGTAGGGTATTTTGTTCTTAAGAGAAACTTTAAGCAAACTTCTTGTGTGTAGGCTGTAATACATGCACAACAACAACAACAGTTTATTACATACATAATTTACATGGATTATAATCATATGGATATATATTATATATATATATACGTTTGTATATATATATATTTGTGCAGGTTACAATGTGTTAAAAGGTTTAAATATTTTATAGATTGGTAATTTTCACGCCCACACGTACACAGACATATAAGCATACATTGGATACATATATATATATATTTGATATTTATAAGCTGCCTTTGTAATTCCATTTGCTCAATTACAGTGCAAAACATAAATTTTGAGGTTACGTTTGTTGTGGTAATTTGTTTGTCAAGCAATTTACATACTTATATTGTATATTATTAATTACTACTATTGATTTCTTGTTTAATTATATCAAAAACTGTTTGTGTGCATATTCTTCTGTCTCTATGGCTATTTTGATGCTTTGCTTTGCTTGTTGTTCGGCGCTCGAGATAATTTTTTTATGTTTAATTCTATTTTTTTCTTTTTATATTTTGGGGATATGCCGTTCGACTCTCAGATATATGTGTGTGCCTCTCGACCGTTCCTAGTGCGCGTGAATTGGTAACCAATAGTACCTCAAGCCAAAACGTATTTCCAGACGCGATTCGTCTGGTGGTTGGTGCCCGTCTCTGTCACATACAGGGCCGAGCCATTGACGCTGACGGCTATGGAATGCGGATTCTTGAACTCGCCCCAGTGGCCAATGATCGTCTCGGAGCGGGGATCTATGGTAAAGCCACGCACCGGCAGCATAGAGGTGGGTCCATTCACTGCGAACACTATGTCACCATAGCCACTGACGCCAAAGACGCGACCTAAATCTGGTTCCTGTATGGTGGCCGCCGGTTGACCCTCGCCATGCGACGACTTAAGGCCAGCTCTGCAAAGAGAGAGAATTGGGATTCCTTAATTATCAGCATACGTTTCTGAATACTCACTTGGGGCACACAACGCGCATATTTTCGCGGTCCGCAATGCACAGCAGGTCCAAGTGCTCCAACAGGGTAATTGCATGCGGCACCTGCAACGAGAGGAATTCTACAAGGCGCTGCATTGTTGAGCTATTACTAGCAAGAATAATATTATGCATACGCACCGGGTGGTTGGGGAATGCTGCGCAAGAGTTTGCCAGCGGCATTAAACTTGAGTATGCGACTATTACAGTAGCCATCAGCTATGAAGAACTGAAAAAAAAAAGGCGAAACGGATTAATGGATACAATTCAATCGATTTAAAGGTGTGGCTAATACCTCGCCTGTTGTGGCCACAGCAATGGATGTGGGCTTGCACAGTTGCTTGACAGAGGCACCCGGGCGGAAACGCTTGCCAATCACCAGCTGCGGCTTGCTCTCAAATGGCCGGAACTGTAGGTGTTAGAGAGTTAACATATTAAATTGATAGCTTATGCAGTTGGACAGCCCACCTTAAAGGCCTGATGCATGGCCACATCGGTTATCCAGTAGTTGCCGTGCGCATCAATTGTCATGCCGTGCGGCATATAAAACATATCGGAGCCCCAGCCGGTTTTGATGGCGCCCGTTTTGGGATCCAGCACATAGATGGTCTTCTCCTTGATGGGCCCATACTCGATAAGATAGTAGATGTTGCTCTCATTAAATGTGCTGCATTGGATAACAATATGTGACAAACACTTGTTAGTGGACAGATGTTGACCTACTTTACATCCCAGTAGCGGTCAGCGCGATGGAAAATCACTGGATTGCCCTCGGGGTCAACGGAAACAGCTGTTACTTGTCCAAAGCTATGCTGATCTGTTGGCCAATTCTCCACGAGCACAGGCACGGGCACACTGGCCGCTGGTATGGGCACATTGTCGTAGCTACGTTGATTTTGCAGTGCCAGTTCGTCGCCCGCCAAAGGCAGCTGCTTGGCCTACAAATAGGAGGGTGGGGTTACGCTGACTATGAGCCATCTTTGGCACAACAGAACCTACCTCCATGCGGCGCTTAATCAGCTCCCTGACCTCGTCGAAGAAGCGTTCATTGAGGTTTAGGCCAGCCTCTGGCAGGTGGTTGCCACTGACCTCAGTCAGTGTGCCCAGACCAAGCGCCAGCAGCGCCACAAATAAAATGCGTCGCATTTTACACTTAAAAATCGAGAGCCTGCGTTTATTTACACTTTTTATTGAACTGCACTTGGTGTTCGTCCTTTTTTTACACGATTTTCTTGGCTGACGAGCGCGTTGGCTGCCTTAACATCTGTTGGAGTTATCTATATGTTGAGCTGGCAATAACTGAACTGGCTCGGGGCCAACACACGCACAGCACCTACGCTTTTCGCTTTCATTGCGAACGCATGCGCCTGGCCAGCACCGTGGGACGCCAGGCGCCAAAACAGCTGCAAGTTATATGATGGCTGTGGCAATAAACCGTTTGTGCCACGGTGGCACGCACACAGCTACAGATGCTTTGATTGAAAAGCGTTTATTGATTTTCCAATTGACAAAATTGAGCGCTAAAAGTTAGGCAACAAAATGGCCGCTCTATGCAAATGTTCGATAATTTTATTATGCACACATATCGATAACACAAGTTAATCTTCTTATGCATACAAATCGATAACACAAGATCCAACATGTACGTGCACACAGGCAGGCACATATGTATATGCATGTGTGTGCGAGACTTGTTTGTGTATGTTAATTGATATGAAAATGTAGTGCAATTAAAATGCATTAATTTCCGTATATTTAACGTTGCTTTATTTTTTACGATCACTCGCATTGTTTGCATTGAATTTGTAACCAATGGACATGTAATAGCATAGCTGCCATTTTAGAATATTATTTTGTAGGCCACTTGGGAAATGGTTGCATACTGTCAGCAGTCAGTGTAGCTGCTGTTGGTGTTGGTTTTCATGTTATTATTACTGTTGTTGCTGTTATAGCTGCTGCTGCGATATGTGTGACGTCACGCGCTCAGCGCTCAACGGTGCCCAATGCCAGTTGGGTCCAAATATAGCCGGTATCTGTCATGGAACAGTATGCATTGTAATAACGTCCCGGCGAGCTGCGAAAGAGAAAATTAAATAATTTGCAAAGGATTTGATGATGCCATAGAATTCACTTACCGGCAATATGAGTATTGTGGGCACTTGCAGCGAAATAGATTCTGAAACTCCTCCTTGCAGACCTCATTCCACCAGCAGGTGCGCTAAAGTGTGGCCAAAGTTTGTTAATCTCTGTTAAAATACACATTTAATTGGACCAGCTAATACCTCGGTCATGTAACCATGCACGCTCTGGTCCGAGTAGCGCTTGTTCTGGTGTCCATCGTCCGTGGCGTGCAGCGGACTCAGTGCCATGGCCAGCATCAGCACGAGTAGCCAACATCCGTGTCCAGTTCTGGGCAGGCTAAATGTCACGGGCAGCGCCTAAAAGCGTGCAACAGCAATTTAAATACGTAGAAAACTTTCAGCTTATCATTTGTCACACCTTTTGCATTGCGTTGCGTTTCGTAATTGCTGTTTTTGTTATGTTTTCGCCACTCTTTCGCGAATCACATGACGCTCTGCCGAAGCTGGAGCAGACACCGACACACACACAGACACTAACACACACACAGACACCGATACAGCTGCATGTCCTGTGGCAAGTTGGCCGCTGTTTTGGCTTTGGCCTACTTTTGGGCGTCGCTCGGCTTCAGCTTTGACTACGTCGGCTACCGTTATTTCACGCACACGCACAAGCACACGCACACACACACACGCACACACACACACACACAACCACACACAAATTATTTTCCAATTTGAGGGCTGCTTAAATACAGGGTGTTTCTGTAACTAATACAAATGCCCTGTATCTTCATACAATTTTGTTCGTAAACTAGCGGGTATTCCCCGCCGTTGCCCGTGGTACGCATAAAATAAATAGACAAAGAGCCAAACATCGGGAAAATTAGAACAGTGGGAAATTTTTACCAATGTCTATATGAGATATTTTAGGATACCATTTTTACAAGAATTTCGACCAAAAATTATGTTGCCAGATTTAGATACACAATTAACCTAGAGGTCAAACCATGCACAAAAAGGCAAACCTTATGCAAATCTGTCGAGTTTTGACCGAGCTTATGGGGTTGGGAAATTTCGACCTATGTCTATATGATATATCTTGGGGTACCATTTTTACATGAATTTCGATAAAAAATTATGTTGCCATATTTAAATGCACAGTTAATCTCGAGGTCAAACCATGCACAAAAAGACAAACCTTATGGAAATCGGTCGAGTTTTGACCGAGTTATGGGGTTGGGAAATTTTTACCTATATCTAATGGGATAATTGAGGGTACCATTTTTACATGAATTTCGACCAAAAATCATGTTGCCAGATTTAAATGCACAATTGATCTAGAGGTCAAACCATGAACAAAAAGACAAACCTTTTGGAAATCGGTAGAGTTTTGACCGAGTTATGGGGTTGGGAAATTTTTACTATGTCTATATGAGATATTTTAGGGTACCATTCTTACATGAATTTCGACCAAAAATGATGTTGCCAGATTTAAATGCACAATTGATCTAGAGGTCAAACCATGCACAAAAAGACAAACCTTATGGAAATCGGTCGAGTTTTGACCGAGTTATGGGGTTGGGAAATTTTGACCTATGTCTATATGAGATATCTTGGGGTACCATTTTTACATGAATTTCGACCAAAAATTATGTTGCTAGATTTAAATGCACAGTTAATCTCGAGGTCGAACCATGCACAAAAAGACAAACCTTATGGAAATCGGTCGAGTTTTGACCGAGTTATGGGGTTGGGAAATTTTGACCTATGTCTATATGAGATATCTTGGGGTACCATTTTTACATGAATTTCGACCAAAAATTATGTTGCCAGATTTAAATGCACAGTTGATCTAGAGGTCAAACCATGAACAAAAAGACAAACCTTATGGAAATCGGTCGAGTTTTGACCGAGTTATGGGGTTGGGAAATTTTGACCTATATCTACATGGGATAATTGAGGGTACCATTTTTACATGATATTGCGAGTACCATTTTTACATGAAATTCGACCAAAAATTATGTTGTCAGATTTAAATGCACAATTGATCTAGAGGTCAAACCATGCACAAAAAGACAAGCCTTTTAAAAATCGGTAGAGTTTTGACCGAGTTATGGGGTTGGGAAATTTTGACCTATATCTACATGGGATAATTGAGGGTACCATTTTTACATGATATTGCGGGTACCATTTTTACATGAATTTCGACCAAAAATTATGTTGTCAGATTTAGATGCACAATTAATCTAGAGGTCAAACCATGAACAAAAAGACAAACCTTATGGAAATCGGTCGAGTTTTGACCGAGTTATGGGCTTGGGAAATTTTGACCTATATCTACATGGGATATTGAGGGTACCATTTTTACATGATATTGCGGGTACCATTTTTACATGAATTTCGACCAAAAATTATGTTGTCAGATTTAAATGCACAATTGATCTAGAGGTCAAACCATGAACAAAAAGACAAACCTTTTGGAAATCGGTAGAGTTTTGACCGAGTTATGGGGATGGGAAATTTTTACTATGTCTATATGAGATATTTTAGGGTACCATTCTTACATGAATTTCGACCAAAAATGATGTTGCCAGATTTAAATGCACAATTGATCTAGAGGTCAAACCATGCACAAAAAGACAAACCTTATGGAAATCGGTCGAGTTTTGACCGAGTTATGGGCTTGGGAAATTTTGACCTATATCTACATGGGATAATTGAGGGTACCATTTTTACATGAATTTCGACCAAAAATTATGTTGCTAGATTTAAATGCACAGTTAATCTCGAGGTCGAACCATGCACAAAAAGACAAACCTTATGGAAATCGGTCGAGTTTTGACCGAGTTATGGGGTTGGGAAATTTTGACCTATGTCTATATGAGATATCTTGGGGTACCATTTTTACATGAATTTCGACCAAAAATTATGTTGCCAGATTTAAATGCACAGTTGATCTAGAGGTCAAACCATGAACAAAAAGACAAACCTTATGGAAATCGGTCGAGTTTTGACCGAGTTATGGGGTTGGGAAATTTTGACCTATATCTACATGGGATAATTGAGGGTACCATTTTTACATGATATTGCGAGTACCATTTTTACATGAAATTCGACCAAAAATTATGTTGTCAGATTTAAATGCACAATTGATCTAGAGGTCAAACCATGCACAAAAAGACAAGCCTTTTAAAAATCGGTAGAGTTTTGACCGAGTTATGGGGTTGGGAAATTTTGACCTATATCTACATGGGATAATTGAGGGTACCATTTTTACATGATATTGCGGGTACCATTTTTACATGAATTTCGACCAAAAATTATGTTGTCAGATTTAGATGCACAATTAATCTAGAGGTCAAACCATGAACAAAAAGACAAACCTTATGGAAATCGGTCGAGTTTTGACCGAGTTATGGGCTTGGGAAATTTTGACCTATATCTACATGGGATAATTGAGGGTACCATTTTTACATGATATTGCGGGTACCATTTTTACATGAATTTCGACCAAAAATTATGTTGTCAGATTTAAATGCACAATTGATCTAGAGGTCAAACCATGAACAAAAAGACAAACCTTTTGGAAATCGGTAGAGTTTTGACCGAGTTATGGGGATGGGAAATTTTTACTATGTCTATATGAGATATTTTAGGGTACCATTCTTACATGAATTTCGACCAAAAATGATGTTGCCAGATTTAAATGCACAATTGATCTAGAGGTCAAACCATGCACAAAAAGACAAACCTTATGGAAATCGGTCGAGTTTTGACCGAGTTATGGGCTTGGGAAATTTTGACCTATATCTACATGGGATAATTGAGGGTACCATTTTTACATGATATTGCGGGTACCATTTTTACATGAATTTCGACCAAAAATTATGTTGTCAGATTTAAATGCACAATTGATCTAGAGGTCAAACCATGCACAAAAAGACAAGCCTTTTAAAAATCGGTAGAGTTTTGACCGAGTTATGGGGTTGGGAAATTTTGACCTATATCTACATGGGATAATTGAGGGTACCATTTTTACATGATATTGCGGGTACCATTTTTACATGAATTTCGACCAAAAATTATGTTGTCAGATTTAAATGCACAATTGATCTAGAGGTCAAACCATGCACAAAAAGACAAGCCTTTTAAAAATCGGTAGAGTTTTGACCGAGTTATGGGGTTGGGAAATTTTGACCTATATCTACATGGGATAATTGAGGGTACCATTTTTACATGATTACGTCGGCTACCGTTATTTCACGCACACGCACAAGCACACGCACACACACACACGCACACACACACACACACAACCACACACAAATTATTTTCCAATTTGAGGGCTGCTTAAATACAGGGTGTTTCTGTAACTAATACAAATGCCCTGTATCTTCATACAATTTTGTTCGTAAACTAGCGGGTATTCCCCGCCGTTGCCCGTGGTACGCATAAAATAAATAGACAAAGAGCCAAACATCGGGAAAATTAGAACAGTGGGAAATTTTTACCAATGTCTATATGAGATATTTTAGGATACCATTTTTACAAGAATTTCGACCAAAAATTATGTTGCCAGATTTAGATACACAATTAACCTAGAGGTCAAACCATGCACAAAAAGGCAAACCTTATGCAAATCGGTCGAGTTTTGACCGAGCTTATGGGGTTGGGAAATTTCGACCTATGTCTATATGATATATCTTGGGGTACCATTTTTACATGAATTTCGATAAAAAATTATGTTGCCATATTTAAATGCACAGTTAATCTCGAGGTCAAACCATGCACAAAAAGACAAACCTTATGGAAATCGGTCGAGTTTTGACCGAGTTATGGGGTTGGGAAATTTTTACCTATATCTAATGGGATAATTGAGGGTACCATTTTTACATGAATTTCGACCAAAAATCATGTTGCCAGATTTAAATGCACAATTGATCTAGAGGTCAAACCATGAACAAAAAGACAAACCTTTTGGAAATCGGTAGAGTTTTGACCGAGTTATGGGGTTGGGAAATTTTTACTATGTCTATATGAGATATTTTAGGGTACCATTCTTACATGAATTTCGACCAAAAATGATGTTGCAAGATTTAAATGCACAATTGATCTAGAGGTCAAACCATGCACAAAAAGACAAACCTTATGGAAATCGGTCGAGTTTTGACCGAGTTATGGGGTTGGGAAATTTTGACCTATGTCTATATGAGATATCTTGGGGTACCATTTTTACATGAATTTCGACCAAAAATTATGTTGCCAGATTTAAATGCACAGTTGATCTAGAGGTCAAACCATGAACAAAAAGACAAACCTTTTGGAAATCGGTAGAGTTTTGACCGAGTTATGGGGATGGGAAATTTTTACTATGTCTATATGAGATATTTTAGGGTACCATTCTTACATGAATTTCGACCAAAAATGATGTTGCCAGATTCAAATGCACAATTGATCTAGAGGTCAAACCATGCACAAAAAGACAAGCCTTTTAAAAATCGGTAGAGTTTTGACCGAGTTATGGGGTTGGGAAATTTTGACCTATATCTACATGGGATAATTGAGGGTACCATTTTTACATGATATTGCGAGTACCATTTTTACATGAAATTCGACCAAAAATTATGTTGTCAGATTTAGATGCACAATTGATCTAGAGGTCAAACCATGCACAAAAAGACAAGCCTTTTAAAAATCGGTAGAGTTTTGACCGAGTTATGGGGTTGGGAAATTTTGACCTATATCTACATGGGATAATTGAGGGTACCATTTTTACATGATATTGCGGGTACCATTTTTACATGAATTTCGACCAAAAGTTATGTTGTCAGATGTAAATGCACAATTGATCTAGAGGTCAAACCATGCACAAAAAGACAAACCTTATGGAAATCGGTCGAGTTTTGACCGAGTTATGTGCTTGGGAAATTTTGACCTATATCTACATGGGATAATTGAGGGTACCATTTTTACATGATATTGCGGGTACCATTTTTACATGAATTTCGACCAAAAATTATGTTGTCAGATTTAAATGCACAATTGATCTAGAGGTCAAACCATGCACAAAAAGACAAACCTATTCGAAATCGGTAGAGTTTTGACTGAGTTGTGGGGTTGGGAAATTTCGAGCTATGTCTATATGGCCCAACATAATGTTGTCAGATTTAAATGCACATTTGTTCAAGAGGTCAAACTATGGAGAAAGAGCCAAGTAACAATTAAAATCCTGAACAGGGAGAGAGAAAGGCAGTCAAAGAGAAAGAGAGAGAGAGAGAGAGAGGGTGAGAAAGAGAGGGCAAGTGGGAGTAAGTGTTGGAGAGTGTGTGTTAAAGAAAGAGAAAGAAGTAGTAGTAGTATAAAATATATTAAGCGATAGAAAGAGAGAGTGAGAGAGCAACATCAACTGAGAATCTCGTAGAAGGGCGATACCTACAAATACTTAAATATTATTTGTTTGTTTATTAAATTAGAGATCTATGACATTTTTAATACGTCACAGCGTTAGTCTAAGATAAACAGACGCATCGTGACTCAGCAGCAGATTGCTAAAATAGTCTAAGAACTCATTTATTTGCCAAAGTATTTTAATATGTGGCATCAAATATTTCAACAGGTTGAAAATATTTCCTATCAAGCGTATATAAGTAACAAACGTAGGTGGGGAAAAGACAACAACAAGAACGGAACGTAAATAATTGGTTCTGGCAATTTCTGAGGTCTCAGTGTTTGCCTCCAAAATGGATACCTATGGAAACATATCGGCCAATAAAGGCAAATGCCAAATGTTTGAGTAAATTTACTTGCATATATATCTATACCCAAGAATCTGGTATATGGTATAAATTTGTATCGAATTTAAGAAAAATAAATATATGCATCGTGTGGGCTAGTTCAAACACCATTTTTCCAAATGGTCTGTGGATCATTTCAAATGTTTATAGAAATTTCCATGCATCGCCGTCATTGCAGACGTCGATGTCTTCCCCCAAAAGCAAAATAACAAACAAGAAAATGTTCTACCAAAATATTAAGTATACGCCCCATACTATACCCTTTATGGAATTTGCGAAACAAGTTTCCAACTAATTTCTGCAGTTTATTGTTGCACTTAGAATATCTTTCCCTTTGATTTATTAAGCGCAAATTGAGTGCTTTTTTTTACAGGGTATTTGATTATATGTACTCAAATAGCAAGACATACTCATGCTGGTGGGAGCAAATTCATATGGATGACGCCCGGCTAAAATTAGATGGCAAATACAAATTCATATTTTTAGCACATAGAAGATGTAAACAGTTTTGATGTTCCTATAAAACTGAGCAGATTTTCGAAAAGCTCCACAAAAACGCTTCAAACGCGAAACGGAATATACAAGAAAATAAATTCAGTTGCTTTTTGTCGGTGACTAATCCACGAATAATCCACAAAGGTACAAGGCACAGAATATTAAAATGTATAAATATTTATAAAGAAAATTCGAAAAAAGAAAAAACGATCGTAAACATTTTCGACTGATCCGTTCGACTAACTGGTGATGCGCATTAATTGCCATTAGCTCTGTCTATCTCTTCTGTTCTCCTGTCACGTAGATGTCCGTTGTGCCTCTAATGTTCCGCGACTGGTGGGATGAGCTTGAATTTCCAATGCGCACCTCGCGCCTCTTGGATCAACACTTTGGCCAGGGTCTGAAACGGGACGATCTGTTGTCGTCCGTTTGGAACTCCCGTCCCACAGTGCTGCGCTCCGGTTATCTGCGTCCCTGGCAGCGTTCGGTCAACAGTCTGCAGAAACAGGAGTCCGGCTCCACGCTGAACATCGATAACGAAAAGTTCGAGGTCATTCTGGACGTGCAACAGTTCTCGCCCAATGAGATCACCGTCAAAGTCGCCGACAAGTTTGTCATTGTCGAGGGCAAGCACGAGGAGAAGCAGGACGAGCACGGCTTTGTCTCGCGCCAATTCTCCAGACGCTATCAACTGCCAAGTGAGTAGAGCTTTGGTATGTTAAAGCATGTGCCCTGCTCTAATTTATCGCTTTTTTTCTTTTTTTTTTCTATCTCAGGTGATGTCAATCCCGACACAGTCACCTCTTCGCTGTCCTCGGATGGCCTGCTGACCATTACGGCGCCCATGAAGAAACTGCCGCCGCCTGCCACGGAGCGCCTGATCCAGATAACACAAACCGGGCCCTCGTCCAAGGAGGACAATGCCAAGAAGGTCGAGACCACAACCACCTAAACGCCATGGACTGTTAAGGTTCTCGTTCGCTTCTCTCTCAAGGAGCGTTGCGAGCAACTAGATTTTTTCTTAAACGAAAATGAGAATTAGAATTAGCGTAAATCTTGTATTAAATATAAATTAAAAATGGAAAGCTGGACATTTAGAATGTCGAGAATTAAAGTTGTTTTAGGGCTAAAGTACGTTCAAACCAAGGCCAGATTTTACGACCAGATCTTGCGTGCAACGTAAAGATATAGTACATGCATATAGAAACTGATCCGTATAGCTTGCCAAATGCATACAGAAAGTGTATGCGAAATTTATTCGAAAAATTTCCAAATAGAAAATTATGAAACAATACTAAAAACTATAAATTCGAGCATCTTTTAATCATTTCTTGGCGGTCACTTCGGGCGTCTTGTTGTCGGTTTTGTTTTTCAAATTCTTAAGCTGTTCCATTTGCTGAAACAGAAAAATCATTAATTGGAATTGCCATACAGTTAGGATTATGGACAGACCTGCTTGTGAAAGAACTGCTCCTCGTGCGCTGCTTCCATTTTGCCAAAGGAGCCGCCGGCCTCGCGTATGGCACCGCCGCCGCCTCCTCCCTTGCCGGCACCGCAGCCCAGTTCTCCGACATGCGACATTTTCAGATGCCTGGCAAATAATTGATATAGTATATATAGTTAAGACTCGAACATGGTTGCAATAGTTATTTATAAGTATGCAATTGGCAATTAAGAGGCGCAAGCTTATGCAATGTGTTCTCGAAATATTCCGAAAAAGTTGTGCGTTTCTAATTCGTTTTTTATTTATCTATAAATACACACACACACACACACACACACACATAAACACTGGCTATTTTATTGTATGGAACTTACTGAATTTGCTTTGGAAACAGGCTCTGACTGAGGCGACGCAATGTTAACATATTGATTTATATACCGATTGTGTCAATATATGGTATATTATTTAACAAATGTGCGTTAAGTGATGAATAATGCTCTTTATTTCAAGGTATTATGAAAAAACTCAGCTGCGTTTTGTTGTTTTCATGCATTGTCGAGGATGCCAACTTGTGTCAATCACGAATGACTATAACGGTCCGAATTTAATTGAATTGAATTTATAGAATAGAAAATGGTTTTTGAATGCAATATTGAATATTTGCCGTTTGTTTTGGTTTGCGCAGAAAACGAAATTTAAATAACAAAAATTAATAAACAGTCCACATCGGTTGTATCTATACGATTTATAAACTAGTTTGCATTTTGATGCAGTCTAAGGCTCCTCATCGCCGGAGTCATGGTCCTTATCGCGATTGTTCAAGGCCTTTAAGCATTCAGTGCTCTGCAACAGATATTTGGTTGAATTTCATTTGTTAGATAATATATCATTGTGTACATGCCTCATTCATAAAGAAGGCCTCTTCGTGTACGTCCTTATATTTGTTTATGCATGTGGTATTATAGAGGGCTGCGTGATCGAGGGTTCGTTGGTATTCCTCCCATTTGCGTAAGTGGTCCGCATTCTTGGAGGTTTCGATGTGTTTGCGTATATTGCACATAAGTCCTTGATTGATTGAGCTAAAATATTCCTCTTCTTTTATGCCACCTTGCATCTTTCCTAATCCGCCGCCCAGCAGGAACACATTCGGCAAGTTGCTCTTCGTCTCTGAGTAACGTCTATTAGAACATTGTCTTCAAATTGCAATAAGGAAAACAAATGAAAAAAAAAAAAATGAAAAGCTAAAAATGCAATTAAAGCCATGGATTATGTGAGTGTTATTGGCTTACGCGTAATTTAGATTTACGGTTTGTGTACGGGCAAACAAACCAGCGGGAAACATTTTTTCGTATTTAATATATTTGAATGTTTGATACGATATTAAAAACTTTCTGGTTGTAAACGAATGCTAAAGGCATCTAAATTTACTGTCAGTGAAGGTAGAACAAAATAAAAATTTTGTAAAATGAAAGTAGCAATAAAAAACATCACAGAACTCCGCGAAAACTACATCCCGATATCGGTAAGTCACTATTAAGTCGATTGTTGTTGTGGAGTAAATTAAATAATATTCAAATTCAATGCGTCCGTTCACCAAAGACAGCCAACCAGTGGTAATCAAAGGAAGACGTAAGTCGAAACTGGAGGCGCCCAAATCAAAATCAGCGGCTGCGCTCGTCAAACGCAAAAACCGCAATGCACGAAGGAAACATAACGATGGCGCCGATGATTTGGCCAAGGAGCCGCCATGTCAGTTTGTTCCTGTGCGGCGCAAGCCGCTCGGTGAATATATGAATCTGGAGGGACCGCCGGTCGCATCGCCCTCACCATCATTGCAGGGCATGCGGATGAGCTATGCGGCCGCTGTCCAAACTGGTCTTGGTGTTAAAGTCATGATATCGCCGCGTCTCAAAAAATCGAATAAGCCTGGCAAGGGCAAAGCCATTAAGATAACTGCTGATACAAAGTTTCGGATATTTGATGAACAACCCAAGCCGCATATTGTCCGTGTCGATCCCAAAGTGTTTCGGGCTGACGTTGAGCAGAGAGCTAGATTGAAGGGATGCAAATCAAAAAAGCCGATCACCCAAAAGGCTAGCAAATCGCTAATTAAACTAAATGCCAAAACTGAACCAGATGACGCTGATATTAAAGCACTTGAATTGAAATTCAAAAGACTGGCATGCAATGCAGCAGGTACTGCTACAGTTGCGGCTGTGCAAACGGCTAGAAATTTGAATTCAATTCAGGGCAATTCTTTAACGGCGTCGAATGGTCAAGTGAAGCACAACAAATTGAAATCGCCGCCGGCATTTGTGGATTCTGTTAGCTATATAAGTTTTCATCATGAGCGATTGCATCGGTTAATCAAAAATCAAAGCTTTTGCGTTATATGCTTACAATCGCCAGAGCCAATGAAGGTACCACAGTTTGAGGACAAGCATTTTAAATATCTCGAGGAAGCTGCACTTTTGGCACAAAATCGCACCATGCTACGCCTATGGCTGAACTCTGATCAACTGATATGCTAGTAAACATTTTTCAGACAGATAAATTTTAAAAGTTATATTAGTTATATTGTGTGTTCTAAGTTATGCCTGTTGACAAAACCAAATTTAAATGAAACGGCCATAATAAACTTGGCCTGCCAACGCAACGGCCGATAAAATAGTATTTTATAGCCAAATAGCTACTAAAAAAAAAAAAAAACAAACAAAACTGCAGCAAAAAAAATACCATGTGTACAATTTGTATATCGATAATGTGGTACATATTTAGTGTATCATGGCCTGGTCACACTAGTTGTGTTTAGGTTGATTATTTTCCTTATTTTGCGTGTAAAATGTTGTGTGGTGAAAAGCGCAATTTACTTGCAATGCTTATGTAGTTTTTCAACCAGCTAGTGGCCAATGTGCAAGCCAATAATGTTAACCGTTTGACGGCATTATACCAACTGCATGGCAGCGCCTGTCTAGCCAAACAGCAGACCAGCAAAGTGAAGGCGTGTGAACGAGCGAGCGTGTGAGCGAAGAGAGGAGTGGAGTGGAGTGTGGTGTGGTGTGGAGTGAGGAGTGAGAGTGTGCGGAGCGGAGCGCAGCGCGTTTTCTGTGTGTTTTGTGTGTGTATATAATGGACAAGTTAAAAAACAACAACAAAGAACATGCAGTTATTGCATCAATTGAGTGCTCCTATACCAATGCTGCTGACGCCGATGTGGATGTGGAGAGCAACAAGAGCACGCCCACACCATATTTTACGCCCCTGGAGTATTTGCAGACCTCCTTTGAGTTCCCATCGCCCACAACAGCAACAGCAGCAGCCGCAGAGCCCGCTCGAGCCTGCGATGAGGAGACACTTTATACACCCAAACAGTTTACAATTTGCAATCCCAAGCAGCAGCAGCAGCAGCAGCCAACACAACAATTGCCGCAATCGCCAACGACGCTGAATCGTAAATTCAAGCGATTTTCTTTATACGATCGCCGTTCGTGCTCGCCGCAGGACGGACGCATCTTTGCCAACAAGGAAAATACAATACCAAAAAAATGCAACACCGATAACGATCACGATAGTTTGTATTTATCGAAAAGCGAACACAACTCACCCACAATCCTTTTTAGAGATGACAGCTCAACGACAACCACAACAACAACAACAACAACACCAAACCTCCTCAACGACTCGAGCCGCCTTAGCTACTCACCCAAACTGCTCGCCTCTATAAATAATCTAAATTTGAATCATTCACTTAGCGGTTCACCGCTAAACATCATCAATTCGGCGGGCTATAAAAATGGCAATTTCTTTCGCTTTCCCGAAATCGATCATGTGGTGCAGGATATGGTGCCGCCAGCAACTGTTGCTTTGGCAGCCGAGGAACCGGACAATCAGCAGCAAGCAAATGCTGTCGCTGTGGCCCAACTGCAGCAGGAGGCGGGTCGCCGCAATCGCAAGAACAAAAATAATCTCACCATACGCATCACAGACGTGCAGCTGGCCGGCAAAGGCAGCTCAGCACAGCCGGCGTCGCCATCAACGCTGGCCAAGCCAAAGACGCCCACCATTAAGTGCACCAAAGAGAAGGCACGCTCCCTGGACTCGGCTGCCAATGAGACGGAGCTGTCGATTGTGGTGCACCACATAAATGAATCTCATGATATGTCCGCGCCGGGCAGCAGCAGTGGTCATGCCAATGCGAGCAATATGCTCATGCAGCCAAGTGCCTCCAGCCTGTACTCCACCTCGCTATCCCGGCTGGACACGCAACAGTCGCTGCAATGTCGTCGCACCACGCGCCGCAAATCTCCCGGGCTGAACAACAGCGATTGGCAGATGTATCATCGCAAACAAAATCCATATCAGAGTTCGCTGGACACGGATGAACTGAGGTCGGCATCCAGCACGGACGGCAACAGTGGCAAATTCTCGTTGGGCGCCAATCTGGCGCCGCGCAGCGCACACAAACTGAATCCGATGCTGCACTCATCGAGCACCAATTTAAAAACGCTGCCCGAATGCCTGACACTCGTGGAGTTTACACCAATTGTTGGCGTCGAGTCGCCGTTCAAGCAAAAGTCCATGGACTTGCCCGGCAGTGGACACATGCAGGCCAAGAGCATGGCCAGCTCTATGAATCTGCTGCAGCGTCGCGGCTCCAATCACAGCCTCACACTGAATCTGCACAGCTCCTGTGGCAATCTGATGAACAGCGGCCTGAGCGTGTCCAATTATAGTCTGGGCTCGGTTAGCAACTCCAAGTCCAGCTGCAATCTGGAGCAGCAGCAGCAGCAGCAACAGCTCCAGCCGCCGTCGCAGCAACATCAGCAACATCAGCAGCAGCAGCCGCACAATCAATTAACTGTCGCTGCGGGCAGCGCGCAGTGCACGCGCCAGGGCTTGTTCCGACGGCGCGGCTCCAATCACAGCATCACACTTAAGACAAACAACACGACAAACTCGTGCGGCGAGCTTAACTCCATGGCCAACCAGACGCCCAGCCATGTGGCGACGACACCCAAGCGCGGCCTGCTCGAGCGGCGCGGCAGCAATCAAAGCCTGACGCTCAACATGAGCGGCCAGCTAATTGGTGGAGTTGCCGTCGCTGCAGACCAGTTGCAGCCCAAGTTGACCGTCTGCAGCTGTGGTGCTGCCAATGCCGCCCAATCGCCGCATCAGCGCAAGTTCTTTAGCACGGAGAATCTGAACAGCAATCGTGGCGGCAACAGTTCGCAGTATTTGGACTTCAGCAGCAAGCAGCCGCTGTGCTTTGGCTCCGCTTCGGATTTGCAGCCCAGCGAGCAGTCGAAGAACAAGTCGCCCGCAGCTCATGCAGAGCCCGGCGTTGTTCTGTGCAGCTGTGCGGCTGGTGGTGGAGGCGGCGGTGTCGGTGTGGGCGTGGGCATACGCAACATAATGACACGTCCGCTCTCGCCGCAAACGACCAGCGAGGAATTCAAAATCTATTTGGCCAGCATACAGATGTTGCAGAGTGCCTCGAATCCGCTCAATCAATACGATCTGATCAAGCTGAATCATGTTTTCGATGACAGCTATAAGGTGAATTTGGAGCAGCCGCCGGTGCTGGTGTTGGGACGCGGTGAGGGCGGCACGCCCACAAATCAAGTGCCACCCACATCCGAGGATAGCGAACTGTTGGCCATGTACCAAGCGGTGGTCAAGCGTATTGTAACGCCTCTGCCCCAGCTGAGCGACGATGAACAGAAGCGCATATTTCGTGATCTGCACAAGGAGTTCTGGGATTTGCCGCTCAATCATCAGGAGAAGCCGATGGTGTTTGGCTCGCAGACAAAGAATCGCTACAAAACGATTTTGCCCAATGAACATTCGCGCGTGCTGCTCGAGAGTGAGGCCACGGAGCTATTGAATCTGCAACAGCAGCACCAGCAGAGCTGCCTGCTGCAGCCACAAACCAGCAGCGAGGAGCTTATCAGCAAAACGACGCTACTGGCCAATGAGGATTTGCCCTACATCAATGCCAATTACATCAAGGTAAGCCTGAGAGATGCCATAGTCTAATCCAAATATTATTATGACCAATTTCGCTTCCAGGGCCCGGACTATGTGTCCAAGTGCTATGTGGCCTCGCAGGGTCCTCTGCCCAATACGATTTTCGAGTTTTGGCTAATGATCTATCAGAATACGCAGCGTTATATACGCCGCTGCATGGACGGCGGCGGCAGCAGTAGTCCGCATGTGGACAGGACGCACATCTTGCAGCAGTACTATCAGAAGATCGTAATGCTCACCAATTTCACGGAATGCAATCGTCAAAAGTGCGCCATTTATTTTCCCATCGAGCTAAATGAAATTTTTGCGGTTGCCGCCAAGGGTGAAGTCTTTGAGCTGAGCGCGCTGGCACGCGACTACTTTGAGCCGCATCTGCTGCCAACGCTGGACAGTGTCGAGTGTGGAGTCACTTCAAGTGAGCTGCAGCAGCCGGCAACCGAACGGGAATTGAACAATCGCTGGCACATAGCCATTGATTCGGTTAAAGTGACACTGAGCGAATCATTGCGACGCACTCTGCCCGCCGATGGCAGTTTCTTTTTGGCCAAAAATGTGGGCATTGTGCGACGCAATGGCTATTCCGTGCGCAAACTGATCGTGCTCTATTGCATCAATGTGCCGGAGAGCTCCGGTCGGCTGGAGTATTATTTGCAAAAGATTTGCTGCTATCATTATTGGTATCCGGATTGGCCGGATCATCATTCGCCGCGGGATATTAATACGCTGCTGGACACCTGCCTGCATGTGCTCAATCTGGGCAAATGCGAGTCGGAGTTTGATAATTATGATGACAAGCGTTACACGCGCAATGCCCATTTGAGCGCCCAGCGTCTGGAGATCTACAAGCAGGACATTTTCAATGCGGTGCAACCGTTGCCGGTGATACACTGCTCGGCGGGCATTGGACGCACCGGTTGCTTTACGGCCATACTGAATGCGGTGCGCCAGCTGCGACAATCCCTTGCCTATTCGCTGACGGGCATGCTGAGCCGCACGCTGACCATGGCGGATGTGGAGGCTATACAGAATGTTCGAGATGCGGATACCGAGTCCAGCTTTAGCTGCAATACGATCTTGCATATACAGCACATTGTCGAACAGCCGGATGCGGTTAGTTTTGATCAGCTGCCCAAGATGCCGGACATATTTGTGGATATTCTGGGCATTGTTTGCAATTTGCGGCTGCAACGCGGCGGCATGGTGCAAAACTCTGAGCAATATGAGCTAATACATCGGGCCATTTGTCTCTATTTGAAGCGCACTTTGGCGCTGCGACGTTTTTAGATTAGATAATTACCATAAAGATGACAATTTTGATCAAGATGATGATTAAGATATAGTTGTAGACGATGATGACGACGATGATGATGATGATGATGATGATGATGATGAGAAAGAAGAACAAAACACCAATTTACTATTTGTAAAAGAAACAAATTTTGTGAAACTTATTTTAAAAGCAAAACAAAAACAACAAATGCGAATAACCATGGCTAAAAGAGTCTCGAACATATAAACTTATATACAACAAATATGGCATAGAGAAGATATGTTCTCAATGTTTGCTATATAAGCTTATTATCTATTATCTACACATTATTATGATTACGATTAATTATTATCATTATTATTATAAATGTTTATTAAGTGTTTTTTGGATGTATGTATGTTCAAATGTGGTGTGCATGTATCTATGTACATAAGTGTAAATGTTTTCATTATTTTTCGGTGTGAGCAAACAAACAAAACACAACTATGCTTAAAAACAACAACAACAACAACTAAAACTAAAGTTAATTATCCTTATTAATTACCTTATCTAACAAGCTGGCCTTTGGCAACAGGACAACAACAACAACAACAACAGAAGAAGCAACAATGGTGAGTTGGTAAAAACCGTTCGGAAAACGTGAAAAGCTCAAACCCTTTATCAAGTTGTCTCGGAGCCTGCTCCGTTTCTAACTGACTAAAACACCAATTTTCACGGCTTTCGAACTGCCAGCTCGACCCTTGTTGTTGCTGCTGTGCGTCGTTTAACCCCATAGTTACAGCTAGAGTTCTTTCATGACAAAAACAAAAAACAAAAACAAAAAAAAAAAAACAAAAAGTCTAAACAATTATATTGAAGAAAAACGAAAAACAAAAACGGAAATTTGAAAACTTGTATTAATGTTTATGCAATGGAACTAGTCAAATAAAACTTAGAAACATTTTAAATGTAATTATTAATGTGTAAAACGAATGCGTTTTAATGGATCTTGGATTGGGCAGTTGTTTAAGTACTATCACATTTTTTTCTTGATTTTCCCCTAAGTTAATTTTGTAAGTTAACAAAGTTGAAGTAGAACGGAGAGAATGATTTTCTTATTGTTTTGAGAAGTTATTTAAAATGTATTCAATTTTAAGCTCAAAGAGAATTTTACTTTCCGTTTTATAGCTGCAATCAGAATTAATTCATTTTTTTTTTAAATTCTTGCTCTTTCATAAAATTGCCTCATCATTAGTGAATTAGCTTACTCACGATGATTCCGCTAGAGATTTTATATATTTAGATTATGCGTGCGCATATCAGCCCCTCGTGCCCGTCTAAGGGTTAAAGTCAAATCAGCTGGTCTTGTTTGTGCGTCGTCTAAAGTTCATTTTTAAACAGGTTTCGCTTTCGGACCGAAATTAAAAAGTGATTAGATTTTGTTTGTAGACCTAAGTTCCAATTATGTGGGCCTTCAGCACACTTCGCCGCGGACAGTATTCAATCAGTTGCCTCCGATTATTCAGCAATATGAGGGTAAGCCAAAGCCCACCAGAAAACAGTTTGTTACCTTAATTGTTTTTCTCAATTCGCAGGTGAAGGTGCCAGTGAGCCAGGGCGTTGTGGTTGGACAACGGCAACAGCTGCCAAATGGCCTGCAATACGAGAGTTTTCTGGGCGTGCCGTATGCACAGCCACCCGTGGGAGAGCTCCGCTTTCGGGTGAGTGCTCCACACAAGGAACCACTTGCAAACACTTGGTAACAGCTTGCTCCACTTAGAGCCCTGTGCCTCTGGAGCGTTTCAAGGAGCACGAGCTGGACTGCAGCAAGGAAGGCGACGTCTCGCACCAGCGTGATCCGTTCACCCAAGAAGTGATTGGCTCCGAGAACTGCCTGTTCCTCAATGTGTATGTGCCCAAGGGCAAGTCAGAGAAGCCGCTGCCCGTCATGGTGTGGATTCATGGTGGTGGCTTCTGGTTTGGCAATGGCAACAGTGACTAGTAAGTAAATCCCTTTCAATTTAGAAGCATCATTATCCTATGTCCATTTGCAGTCACTTTCCTGCGCAGCTAATGCAAGAGGAGGTCATTGTGGTTACCCTCAACTATCGTCTGGGTGCCTTGGGCTTTCTCTGCTTACCCGAGGCAGGCATACACGGCAATGCAGGTCTGAAGGATCAGCGTCTGGCGCTGCAGTGGGTGCAGGATAACATTGCCAACTTCAATGGTGATCCAAAGAATGTGACGCTGTTTGGGGAGAGCGCTGGCGCTGCTGCAGTGCATCTGCACACATACGCGTCGCATGCCAACAAGCTGTTCCACAAAGCTATCATACAGAGCGGCACAGGTAACGCGGAGTGGGTATTCCAGCAGGATGCTCCGCACAAGGCACGCCGTCTGGGCGAACTGCTGCAAGGCAAGAATATTGAACAGGCTAGCGCCCTGCTGGAATTCCTGCAATCCAAGGCGGCGACACCATTGGGCATGCTAGCGAAAACCTTGGATGTGCTGACGGCTGATGAGCGCCGTCGCGGCTTGCCACTGACCTTTAAGCCTGTTATTGAGGATCCAAGCAGTCAGGATAGCTTCATCAATAGGCAATTTCTGGACCTGCTGCATGAGAAGGAGCGCCTGCGCGGCATGCCCTTGTTAATGGGCTATAACTCTGGCGAGGGCATAGCCATGGTGGCCAATGCCCGGCGCAAGTTGGAGCTCTACAATGAAGATCTGGCACGCGTGGTGCCGCGCAATTTGGTGGAAAATCCCAAGGCGCCAGAGGCATTTGAAGCGGCCGAGGACATGCGTCAATTCTACTTTAACGGGCAGACAGTAGCGCCCGAGCGGCTCGACAACCTGGCCGATTTGTTCACTGACTATCATTTCAACATCGACATGCAGCACGCTGCAGAGATTCATGCCAACTGCCAGCGCACTGCCCCATTGTATTTCTATCGTTTCGACTATGTGGGCGGCAGGAATATGTACAAGCGCATTTTCCAGGCGGAGAAACTGCGTGGAGCATCGCATGCCGATGAGCTTTCCTATCTATTCCAAATGGTAGATGACGATTCAACGCTGCAGCCAGAGGATGCCAAAATGACTGAGCGCATGTGTCAGTTATGGGCTAACTTTGCTAAAAATGGAAAGCCATTGGACAGCTGGACGCCAGTGCAAAGACAAAAGAGGGGCGCAAATGGGGAGCTCGAGCCTTTCCAATTGGACTATATGCTACTCGATCGGGAGTGCAAAATGCAGCGAAACCCAGATGCAGAGCGTATGGATTTCTGGCGTAGCATGTACAAGAGATATAAGTCCCAATGCTATGAAGCGTTGAGAGCAAAATTGTAATGGATATTTCTCAAAAAAAAAAAAATAATAAATAATAAATATACTCATCATATTTCAAATTTCAATATTAACTAATGATAATTTATCGATATATTTTTGTAGTATTTTTTAAATACTGATAACTCGATACTGGCGGCCATGGAAAGTTTGAAGATCAATCAGCTGTCTATTTGTGCGTTCAAAGATCGGTTTAAACATATTTAAGAATTATTTTTAGTTGCAAAGAGATATATATTTATTTATAATTATGTGGGGGTTCCATGCCCTGCGACGTGGACAATATACAGCCAGGTGCCTCAGATTCTACAGCAATGGGAAAGTAGGATGAAAAGCTTTGAGGAGTTCTTATTAATTTGCAAGCAACCAATTTGCAGGTGAAGGTGTCTGTGAAACAGGGCGTTGTGGTTGGACAACGGCAACAGCTGCCAAATGGCCTGCAATACGAGAGTTTTCTGGGCGTGCCGTATGCACAGCCACCCGTGGGAGAGCTCCGCTTTCGGGTGAGTGCTCCACACAAGGAACCACTTGCAAACACTTGGTAACAGCTTGCTCCACTTAGAGCCCTGTGCCTCTGGAGCGTTTCAAGGAGCACGAGCTGGACTGCAGCAAGGAAGGCGACGTCTCGCACCAGCGTGATCCGTTCACCCAAGAAGTGATTGGCTCCGAGAACTGCCTGTTCCTCAATGTGTATGTGCCCAAGGGCAAGTCAGAGAAGCCGCTGCCCGTCATGGTGTGGATTCATGGTGGTGGCTTCTGGTTTGGCAATGGCAACAGTGACTAGTAAGTAAATCCCTTTCAATTTAGAAGCATCATTATCCTATGTCCATTTGCAGTCACTTTCCTGCGCAGCTAATGCAAGAGGAGGTCATTGTGGTTACCCTCAACTATCGTCTGGGTGCCTTGGGCTTTCTCTGCTTACCCGAGGCGGGCATACACGGCAATGCAGGTCTGAAGGATCAGCGTCTGGCGCTGCAGTGGGTGCAGGATAACATTGCCAACTTCAATGGCGATCCACAGAATGTGACACTTTTCGGGGAGAGCGCGGGCGCTTCTTCAGTTCATATGCACATGTACGGGCCGCATGCCAACAAGCTGTTCCACAAAGCCATCATGCAGAGCGGCACAGGCAACGCGGAGTGGGTATTCCAGGACAATGGTGCACACAAAGCAAGACGTCTGGGCGAACTGCTGCAAGGCAAGAATATTGAGCGGGCTAGTGGCCTGTTGGAATTCCTGCAGTCCAAGGCGGCGACACCATTGGCAATGCTGGAGAAAACCTTGGATGTGCTAAACGCTGATGAGCGACGTCGTCACCTGCCCTTCTCATTTAAGCCAGTTGTGGAGGATGCAAGCAGTCCAGATAGTTTCCTAACTACAGCATTTATTGATCTGCTGCACGACAGGCAGCGTCTGCCTAAAATGCCCGTCATAATGGGCTACAATTCGGCAGAGGGAACGGTCATGATGACAAATCCCAAACGCAAGGTGGAGCTGTACAACGAGGATTTGGCGCGCCTGGTGCCACGCAATTTGGTGGAGGATCCAGAGGCACCAGCAGCACTTCAGGCGGCCGAGGATATGGGTCAATTTTATTTTAATGGAAAGCCTCGACAATCTAGTAGACCTGCAAAGTGATGTGCATTTCGTTATGGACTTGCAGCATGCTGCAGAGATTCACGCCAATTTCCAGAAGGCGCCGTTCTACTTCTATCGCTTCGACTATGTGGGTGGCAGGAACATGTTTAAGCGCCTGTTCCAGGCTGACAAACTGCGCGGAGCATCGCACGCCGATGAGCTTTCCTATCTATTCCAAAGGGCCAATGACAAAGCGCTGCTAGCACCAAATGATTTCCAAATTTCTGAGAAAATGGGCCGTATGTGGGCCAACTTTGCCAAATCTGGCAAACCCTCGGATAGCTGGACACCAGTGCAGAAGCAAACGAGGAAACCCAATGGGGAACTTGAGCCTTATCAATTGAATTATATGCTACTCGATCGGGTATGCAAAATGCAGCTAAATCCCGATGTAGAGCGTATGGATTTCTGGCGTAGCATGTTCAAAAGATTTAAGACCAAATGTTATGAAGCGGTAATGGCCAAATTGTAAAAGAATCGTTTAAAAGAATATAATTTTAAAAATAAATATGCTCAAAAAAATTACAAATTCGATCATTTTATAATTTGGTTAATATCGATATGTTGAACAATGTTTAAATACCAAACGTTCTGTCGTGAGCGATAGTAATATATCGAGAGGGTAAAACATATCGATAGCAAGTCTTTGCGTATTGCAAGTTAGTCATGGGTGCATTGTTTGGGAAATCTAGCAAAAAGACAGCTCCTAGTCGCATTACGGACCACGACAAGGCCGTTCTGGTAAGTACAGCATCTTGTCCAGCTGTCTGTGCAACGTAACATTTGCTTAACGCTTGATAAACCGTAGCAATTGAAGCAGCAACGGGATCGTCTGAAACAGTACCAGAAGCGCATCGAACTGCAGCTCGAAAATGATAGACTGCTCGCCAAGAAGTGCCTACAGCAGGGCAGAAAGGAGTAAGCAGCTACCGTAATGTACCAAAGAACCTTGATTAAACCAAGAAATCCATTTTAGCCGCGCCAAGCTGTTGCTGCGCAAAAAGAAGTATCAGGAAAGTTTGCTCTCGAACGCCGACAAACAACTGGACAACTTGGAGAAGTTGGCCGCCGATTTAGAATTCGCGCAGGTGGAAATGAAGGTGCTGGATGGCTTGAAGCAGGGCAATGCTGCCTTAAAGAAGGTGCACGACATGCTCGACATAAACGAGGTTGAGAAGATTATGGACGAAACACGCGAGGGCATTGAGAAGCAACAGGAGATTGATGCCATATTAACGGATGTGTTGACCCAACAAGACGAGGACGATGTGCTCGCCGAGCTCGATGCACTGGAGGCTGAAGAGCAGCGAGTACAATTGCCCGATGTGCCCAGCGAAGAATTGCCAGCCGCACCAGCTGCAGCAGCAGCGGATGACCTGGAGGATGAGGACGACGCGCAGGAGACAGCTGCAACCAAAGCGACCAAAGTAAAGGACAGTGCAAAAAAGGTGCTGGTGGAAGCCTGAAACCAATGCCATTTACTTTATTCATCGAACTAAGCATAACCTTTGTATGTATGTAAATCCCATGTATGTATGAGTCCTTTGTGAAACACATATATTTTTATATAAGATTATTTCCAATCAGACTCGTCAGCTGCTGTGCACTTCGCATTTCCATTGACTCCAGCATTTACATTAGACTCTCCAGTCTTCTGCTAGACTTTGTGGATTTCCTGCCAGATCTGCGCACGTCCTCGCGGACGCGCGAGCGCAGGCTTTTGTTCTCATCGCGCAGACTTTCGATCTCCTCCAGCAGCACCACATTTTCCTGGAACAGTTTATCGTATTTCTTCTGGACGCTCTTGTCTTCCGCTACGGACTTGTAGCGCGCCAGGACAGTCTCGATTTGTTTGCGCTGGCGCAAGAACTCATCGCGCACCTCGGCATCGAGTGTGACGAAACGCTTGAGCTCATCATCGTTGGCATGCTTGTGGAACAGCTCCTTGACCGCCTTCTTGAGGCCATCGGCGGTGCTTACCTCGCCGGCCACATAGAAGATGTCCGTGCAAATGGCATTGAGGCATTCGCGAGCGGCCTTCGCGCGATGTCGCTCGGAGCGCAGCTCGGCCACATTGCTGAGATACTTGTCGCGCATCTCCTTGAGCTGCAGCTCCAGCTGTATGTTGTTCTGATTGAGACCTTCCAGTTCGTGTTCCATTTCGATAATATGTTTGCGTTTGTCGTTGATCTGGAACTCGCGCGGCTCAATCTGTGCCTTCAGCTCGGCTATTTTGTGATTAAGCACCTGCTTGTATTTATCCAGTTCCTGGTTCTTGTGCAGCAGCTCCTGTATGCGCTTCTCCTTGGCACCGATGGCATAGTCGCGATCCGAGATGTCCTTCTGCAGATCCTCGACATTGCGCAGCTGCTTCTGCATTTTCATTTGCGACTTGAAATGCTCCTCCTTAAGCGTTTCCACCTCCTCCAGCAGATTGTCGATCTCCCGGCACTGGGATTCGTATTTCTTTTGGAGCACACCCGCCTTGCCGCGCCACATCTGCGTCTCGTTGCGCTCCGTGGTCAGCTTGTTCTCGTATTCGGTTTGCGTGGCAACCATGTTGCGATCATTTTCGGCCTCCACCTCCTGGCAGTATTTGATGAACTCGTCCTTCTTGTCCTGCATCTCCTTCATGAGCTCACGTATGAGATCCTTGCGTTCGTCCAACTGCTTCTTGTAGTCATTCTCCAGCGCTTCGATCGTATCCTGCAGCGTGCCCGTCGAATTCTTCAGCTTATCCTCGTAGCTCTCGCGCAGCTCCAGCATGTTCTCGCGCAAATTGGTGAACTTCTGATATTCGATGAGCATGCGCTCGGAATATTGGCTGGCCAGTATGTCCATTTGGGAGCGATGATCCTGCTTCATATCGTTGATCTGGAACGTAATCAGATTCATTTCCTCCGTGTGCTTGGACACAATCTCATTGTTGAGCTCCTTGAGCTCCTCCAGAGCGCTGCAATAGCTGCGATGCACCTCCTGCAGCTGCTGGCCATCGAATATCTCATTCTGGCTCAGCTGATACTGGAACTCCTCGGCCTGCTGCTTCAGACGCAGCTCCAGATTGGTTATCTGCTCCACTTTATCGCTCAGCTGGGTGCGTGGTATGAGCACCTCCTGGCTCTTCATCAGATCCTGATCGATGGGTGCCACCTTCTCCTCAATGTTCTCCATTGTCCAAATGGCAACGGTGCCACGCTTGGAGATCGCCACCAGCATCGTTCCTTCGTACGTGAAACGCAGCTTATTGATGGGCCCATCGAAAAATCGAAAGTTGGTAAAGGTGCCGCCGCCGGCTTCCAAGAACGGCAGCTGCATATTGAACAGCCCGCCCTCGTGATCCGCAATGAACATGATCAGATCGGAGCGTGCCAGGCACAGATCCGAGACGGCGCCCTTGTTGCGCGACGGCACTGTTATCTCGCGCTGCAGCGTCGAGTCCTGGAACTCGCGTATGGTGCCGTGATTGGTGCCCGCAAATATGGTCATCGGCTCGTTGAAGCTGACGCAAACGGTCACATATTCGGTGCCCTTTTGCACGATCTCCTGGAGGCGTGCGCCAGTCTCAATGTCCCACTGATAAATGGCGCCCTCCGCTCCGCCGGATATCAAATACTTGTCCGTGCGCGTCCAGGCGACGGACAGAACGGTGCCATTGTGTCCCTTCAGGTGTATGACCACCTCCAGATTATATACGGATGTCACCGCAATATTGTTGTCATAGGCAGCCGCCATCAGATGGCCAAGGTTCGAGTATCGCACATCGTTGCAGTGCGGAAAGTTGTAGGTCTTGACAATCTACGGATGGGAGGCGGAGAGGGAGGGAGTCAATCAAAAGATGGAGGCTTGTATATTAAAAAACTTGCGTTCAGCTCATCCATAAAGATTTGCGTGATGCGCAGCTGATCGGAAAAGCCAATGGCCGCCATGAGGCCAGTGGAATTCAGTTCCACAATGTTGACATCCACCTGAAACTTGCGCACCAGCTCCACCTTGGCCGTCTCATAGTTCCAGATGCGTATGGTCTGATCCCGTGCTGCAAAAAAAAACGAAACGAGCATTTAAATCCAGTCAAAGCTCGGCATCCAAATCTCACACACAAGCTGTCATAACGATGGGTTTCCAGGCGCACACGGAGAGAGCGACCACGTCGCCGATGTGGATGAGCACGCCCAGCGGCTCGAACTTGAGCTGTTTGGTCTTCAATGTCTCCGGCACAATGAGTATGCCCACATAGATCTGGGCATGGGCACAGGTGACAATCACCGTCTCCTGCTTGTGATCGATGGCCAGATTTGTGATCTGATAGAGGGGCTCTGCATATATCGAGATGGGCACCGTTAGCACGGTCTTGCGCTCGAACTTGAACTTGGAGACGCGCTCGAAGACGAACACCTTGTTAAAAATGATGTAAGCGAAGCCTCTGGCAAAGGCGGTCATGCAGAGCACACGCCAATTGGCCAGGACCAATGGCTGTATGGCCGAATAGCGTTGTTCCTGCGCCTCGCGATCCTTATCGAACATCTCCTGGTCGATCATTAGGTCAACCGTTTCGGCAACGCTGGCCTTCTGGCTAAGCTTCTGCTCGCCGTTCTCCACCAATATCAGCAGGTCATGATCGGTGCCCATCATCAGCAGATCCATCGATAGAAAGGCCATCGAGGTGACACGATAGTTGATCTTTAAGTTGTTGCTTATGGTAAATCCACGCTCCGATTTGCTCAACAGCAACAGGTTGCGATCCCCGGCCACGGCCAGGAAGCCGCAATCGTTGGGATTGCCGGCAATGCACTCGGCGCCGCCATGGGAGCCCGGCAGAGTGGCCCGACCCTCGATCACAGTGCTCGTCTTGTCCAGCACCAGCATGAAGACCATCTCGTTGGGCGGCCTGGTCACCAGCGCAATGGCACGCGAGTCATTGGTAAAGATCATTTGCTGCACCTGCGCATTGCGATGGTTGCCAGGCAGCTCCAGATGGCGACGTTTCTTCAGCGTGGACAGCTCATAGATGGATATATAGCGACCGCTGTGTTGGGCACAAGAGAAGCATTAAACTATCTTTCCCAGCGCAGCTCCCTTCACTTACTTCCGCGCGTGCAGCTCCAGCACGGCCAACAATTTGCGATGCGAGCTGAGTGCAATGATTTCCGGCGTGGTGTCCTCCGGAAAGCGTAGAAAACGCTGCTTGTTGGTCACATAATCGTGGAAGGCGAGCACACCCTCCACCGGATAGATGACCTCCTTGGTCAGATTGAAGTTAATGTTGCCAATGACATCCGTACGCAGGCCATAGATAAGCTTCGGCCGTATGGATACCGAATTCACAACGGACGGACGTTTTTCATCCATTTTCCGTGTATTGATTAAAAAAAAAAATATATATATATATATATATAAATCGGAATTGGCTGTGGTAAATATTTATGCAATTTTTTGTTTGTGTATATCTTAAGCTCGCGAGTAAAAATTCAAATAATTTCGATCAAACAACGGAAGGAATTGTTAAGGCAGCCCTGACAGCAAATTCCATGGCATCCCGGGGCCTGGGAAATCCAACAGCATGTTGTTTTTTTTTTTTTGCTTTATTTTGGCGCGTAAAGCTCTCCATAATCAAACAGCGGCAAAAGCGCATGAATAAATAATTAAACGCCTCCAAGTATGCTTTTAATTTCATAGTACGCACTCGAGGCCCCAAAGCTACAACAACAACATTCTAAGGGTCCAAACAGCCCCGCACATTGGTCGCACTTGAACTCGAATAAAGCGCTTAAAATGCCCAAAGTCGGTCTCTTCAGTCAATCAGTCATCCAATCAGACAGTGAGTCAACCCGCTGGCAGTTAATAACACACACATACACACACACAAACACTGCCCAATCCCCCCCCGTTCAGCAGCAACCGCGACCTAACACAACGCAAAGCTTTCGGCAAGCCAAAAGAGCGCGCATGTAAGAGCAAAAGCTCTGCGGTACGAACACGGCAAGAAATTGTAATAAACATAACGGCAACATAAGCAACACACTTGCTGTCAACTATCTTTGTCTGCCTGCCGCATTTCGTGCAGTGCTCGCTGTGCAGCCCTCGCAGTCACAATTGCGCTCTTCTGCTTGCATGCGTAAAGAGTGCGCAACAGAGTGTACCCATTGAAGCGATGGCGCGTTCAGTTGTAGTTTACGCGTCGGCCGCAGCACAACGCATTCGAGCAGGCGGAAAAAAGAAAACAACCGTTGTGTGCGCAAAGCAAAGTGTACGATATAGGCAAAGACAGACATCAGCAAAGCGCAGTTCAGTGTGCTGCCTGGCCAGTGCTGTTTCGTATTGTGTTATCAGTGGCGGCAGCGACAGACCGAATTGTAACGTTGACAGGTGGAGCGCAGGTGGCGGCAGAGCCTTTGGGCAAAAAGCCACAAAGACCAAAGTAAATTATACACTTAAAAGCAACAATACAAATACAAATACACGTGTACGTGTGTATAAATATATATTTTATTAAGCGCTGGTCTCCTATATACACATAATTTGGAGTGTGGAGTGTGTGTGTGTGTGTGCGTTTGTGAACTGCCTACCTTCCTGTCTCGGTGTGTGTTTGTTTGCTGTTCGCGCCTCTCAATTAACGCCCCGGACAGAGTACGAGGCTTCAGTCAGGTAAGTGGCCAACGTTGTAATTGTTGTTCTTGTTGTTGTTGTAGTTGTTTTTGCGCTGAACTGCATGTTAAGCCAATAAAGGGCATTAAAATTAAAAAAACGGTAAATGTAACGAAACAAAGCAAAACTTAACGAAACGAACGCGTGCTAATGGACTTTGTTGGTTTTCACTTTCATGCATTAAAATCAAAAAACGGAAGCAGCTGCAACAACAACAACAACAAAAACAAAGAGAATGAGAGAAACAACTAAAAGAGATGAACGCCGTCTTTCGCAATTAAAAACTCATTTTAATGCCCTATTTATACACATGTTCAATGCAAATTACAAGTTAATGCTAGAGCGTGGGTGTATGCGTATTTGTTTGTGTACAAATATAAATCTTATAAATCTTTTTCATCTTGGGCCATTAGCGAAACGCGCCAAAATAACACGAATCCCCTTATTATAAACAAAATAGCTGCCAATGTATACACATCGATACCCCGCACACAAAAATTTAGCTACGGTTCAATTCAAATTCAAAATCGACTGGCAAAGCGCAAATAATTTGCTTTTTCTTCTCAATTTACAAATCAACTCGCCGCCTGTCGCAGCCGTCGCCGCAGTCGCCGCTGCCGCCACAGCCGCAGTGTTGCGTGCGTTGCGGCTGCTGTTCTGTTGCTTGCTGCACAATGTGGAAATGTTGAAATGTGGCAATTTATTTATACAATTTATGTTATTTTTGGCCTCAAGCAGCGGCAAAGTAAATTGCACGCAGTGAAATCAGTTCAAGCTGCCAGCACGCTACACACATACTAAAATGCTCTATGTACGCGCCGTGCAGCTAAGAACCTATGACAACACGAATGTATATGTATTAATATATATGTGTGTGTGTGTGTATGTGTACACACTGGCAGGCGACACAATTTCGAAATTCCAAAGGGAACGACAGGGGAGAGGAATTCGCTGGCAGCGAGCAGCAGCAGCCAACAATGAACGGGACCTACTACAAAAAAAAAACAACATGGCGCATAGTTGCCGTTAGGGTTCGGTTGTTCAGGGTTGGGAAACTAACAAATTTTTAGCAGCAGCTCAGCTTAAAGTGCATGGCCAAGGCACACATACACATGCACACACACGCAAACACAATACATAACAAAGACAAACACACGCACACAGCCAAAGCGCGCTTTTGGGCGCTGAATTTGAGGCAAGTGCTTTTGTTTTTACGAGCAGCCCAGCAAATAATAGCATTTTGTGTGTGTGTGTGTGTGTGTGTGTGTGTGTGCTCTCTACACCAGTTTACAACAATGCACGAAGCAAAAGGCGGGGTTAATGTCAAAAGATAAGCAACAAGCAAGGGGAAGACAAGTGCACAAAGCGTCGCAAATTAAATTTCATTTCTCTTAAATAACATAAAGTCTGCAATTCATGCAACAGAGCATGCCGCCTACATATGCATATCATTTGCATTAATTCAGCTTGGGCAGCTTTCAAGCAGTCAAGGACAGTTAATATGCTCGGCATGCTCTTAACTTTGCCCTCAGCGCAGGCAGCTTAAGCCCTAAATCTTGTCATTAATTGAGGTTTTAATGTAGCGAAAGTTTAGCTGTTTCTCTCAGTGAGCGCACACACACACACACATACACAGAGAGCGGCTATAGCTGAAGTTGTTGCTGAATTTGTTTTAGCACTGAACACAAACCTTTTGAGTTAGCCAGCGGCTAAGCTGACCTTTTTTATTAAGAGCACGCCACCAGGCGCCCACACATACACACACACAGACACACACACAGACACACACACAGACACACACACAGACACGCAGAGCGGGAATTGTTTGGGGTCCGCAATTTGATGTTAACACAGCTGATTGATTTATTGTCTGTTCACTGGCTACCGCAAACACCAGCACAAACATAAACAACACAAAGAAAAAGGAACGCACACCATAAACATATACAACAATAACAAATATAACACAAACAGCAAGTTGATCAGGAAAATGCCAAAAGTCCTCAATAAGCCGAAGTCGCAACGTGTGCAATAAAAACAAAAAAACGAGAATAACAAACGGGCACACTCTCAAACACACACACACACACACACACACACACACACACATACAAACTCGATGTCGTACACTCAGTCAAAGCAATAGACATGCAAGTGAAAGGGCTGCCGTATATATGTATGTGTGTGTGTATGTGTATGTGTGTGAGAAGCTTGCGCTTGTGTGCGTGCATGTATTGTCGCCATAATTAACAGTTGCGACGACGACAACGACGACGACGTCAGCGGCGACAACGCGTACTAGCCGCCATTTTAATTTTACGATAACTGCTTTCACCTACTTGTTTTCACCCATTGTGTGCGGAGTGCATGTGGCAGCGCACACAAACACACACAAACACACACACACACACACACAAGCACACCCACACTAAGAGCAAAAAATAGTCTCGCAGTGCGTCACCAGCGTCATAGAGTTGAAAATATTTCCACGGCACGTCACCAGCAAGCATCACAGTTCTTTTTATACCGTGTACTCATCGAAAATGGTTTACGAAAAAAAATAAAAATAGGGTATCATGAAGTTGTGCAAATGCATCTGACAGACAGAAGAATGCATCATTGCAACTGAAGAGTACAAATACATTTTTTGTACATATCTTTTTTGATGCCTCTCCACTTCCCCGCTGGAAAACGGAAACGTCCACATTTTTGGGGAATACCCTTGACTTTTGCTGCACACACACATAATGCATGTGCCCTAAAAAACAAATAACAGTAAAATAATAAAAACAGAATTAACTCAAGTATAAATTTTCCATCGTGTGGCACTGGGAAAAGAAATGCGCTGCGTATATATATATATGAATATATATATATATATATATATATATATATATATATATATCTATTTGTTTTGTTGTGTCTAGAGAATCTTCTAGTCGCGCGTCCTTGACTTAAATACTCATGGCTTTTTATATTTGGGGTTGTCAAAAGAAATTTACTTTGAAAATTAACATTTAAATAGCAAGTACAAAGTGTGCGCTCACTTAAATTAAACATTCCGTTCAGTTCTGTAACATGCCAACGCGTGTGGGTACCAAATTTAATAATCATTCCACAACTGCTGAACATAATTTATGGACATCATTGTGATGGACAGTGACATCACACTGAAAAGTTATTTGTGCCCGTATTATAATAACTGCATTATAATAGGCATACAAAATTCCGAAATTCTGTCTACCCTGTCAAATCATTTAGTTGAGCGCAATTTACCAAAGTAAACTAATTTGCAATTGCATCAATTAACTTTGCCCTTTCGAGCGAAACGTCCGCGAGCTTTAAACGTTGTGTGACAGTTTAATGATGCCACGTACAGGTAAGCACACATACACACACACACACACACACACTGCCTGGCAAATAGTCCGTCATTACATACGTGCGCCCGTAAATCCCTGGACACCACGTGCACAGCTCATGCCACGAGATTCAATCAAAGTGAGACGTTATATCCTACCGCACTTAAGCTACTTAACCAACTTAAATGTATCAATATTCAATGTGGCCTGATTTTTCCATTCCCATCCACTGCCGATTCACCTACATGAATTATTTCATTACGTATTCAGTTGGGAATGCTTCTTTTGTGTGTGGACTTAGAACTTTATAAACTGGCTTAGCCAGCATATACATGGATTAAATGCCGCTTAGCTCTGTGTGTGCAATGCCATTCATTTTATTCGTTAGCAGATAATTAAAATGCTTCGTCAAGCAGTTAACTGTGTCTGCGCTTAAACTGTTTGAGAATTCTAAATGAACTGCTTTAATTAGCGTCATGTTATAGTCAACACGGCTATATTATTCTCAGTGTAAGCAGCATAGAGGTTGATTCCTTGACCCGTTTCCTGTAACAGATGTCTTTATAAGCAAAAATATGTTATGGAAATTCCTGGGCAGTTCTTATTTATTAACTTAAAGTCTTTCGGTTTTTGTTTACTTAAAGTTGTAGAACAATCGCGTATCCATATGTTTATACAATTGTAATGGGCACTCGCAACTGTTATTGAAGCGTTCGAAAATATGTGTTTACTTAACATTGAAAGCCATGGACAGACAAGGATTCTAAAAATGTTCGAGGGGCTGGGCACAGAACACAAAAGTCTGTAAATATCAATGAATACTATTTGGAATATTCACGTATGGTCGAATGCTATGCTAATGCTATTGCGTGTTAATGCAGGCATTTCGAATTCAACGTGAAATGAATATGAAATGAAATGATGTATTAGGAAAGCACATTAGATAGGTGTGCGTGCGTGTGTGTGTATACACAACTGCGTGTTACGCGTGGCGTATACGCAATGCGGGCCTGAAAGTATGCAGCACTTTTGTTTGGTTTCAATTTCCGTAATGAAAATGAAAGTAAAGATTGTCAGATATATATAGACATAAATGTACAGTCAAGCCACTTTTGGGAAAAATTAAATATTATATTAAAGATTTGCCACCTGCTGGTTAAAGATTTGGTTAAAGTGTTCGTTAGTTGGAGCTTTCACTGTACTTTTGCAGCTGTTATCCTTTTCGGTGGGCTAATTATAATGTATGTAAATGAAAAACAATTTGACTAATACGTTTGGCATTACGTTTACTGCGACGCCCATTAATAATCCAAAAACTTTGATTTATTGCAGCCGCACACAACAACAAAAACATAGCCGCAACATTAACAACAACAACAACAACGAGTACGAGAACACACTAAAAGCAGTAGCAATAATTAACGACAACGCGCCCGAAACGGACGCAAAATAAACACAAAATTAAATAAGCAAGAAAACAAAAGAAAAAAAAACTTAAGAAAACGCAAAGCAAAGGAAAAGCGCAACAAGAGGCGCAAATAGCTGCTGCTGCTGCTTAAATGCTTTGGCAATTAAGCCAAAAATTGTTAACAAAATGCGCAATGCATAAAATTAAACAACAACAACCAGCAACAACAACAATAACAACAGCGACAACAACAACAACAAAAGCTGAACTTTGGACGCGCAGGACGGCGACGACAGGTGGCAGTTTGGCGGCCCGCAGCGCCGTCGCCGTCTCATTGAATTAATTTCAACGAATAGGCCGAAACGGCACGTAGATTGCCGCCGGCTGGAGAACAAACAAAAAGAATTGTAAAACGAAAAGCTGAAAAACCATAAGTAAATGTAAAGAGCCAACTAAAAGTATTTCCACAGCCGAAATCAACGACTGTCAACTTTCGATTGGCGTTTGTCGCGTTTCTCGCTTTTTATTGATTTTATATAAAAAAAAAAAATAATAAAAACCACAACAACAAAGACAAATGGCATTGAACGGCGGCAAAAGAAATAAACAAAAAACAAAAGCAAACGCAATGTGAATAATTTTACTCAATTGTAGCACGAAACAACAAGAACAAAAGAGAAATATATATATATATATAGATAAGCACCTTTCAGCTCGGATGATTCAAGACAACGCACACATACACTGGCACACACACAGCGCCACACACAAGAAGCCCATAAAAGTGTGCTATAAAAACGCATAAATTCAAACAAACAAACAATGAAAAAAGCCAACTAAAGTTCAATTTAAAGTTGACACAAAAGCAAAGATAATACGAGAAAACACACAAAAATTAACCCCAGCTGACAACAAGAAACAAACAAACAAAGAAGAAGAACAAGAACAACAACAGTTACAATTACAATTACAATGCCTAATTGGCCAGGACAATAGCGTAAAGCGAAGCAACGAATAGGCAACAACTGGAAGCAGCAAAACGACAAAAAGCAAGACTGATTTTTATGTGTTTAGTTAGCTTTTTATTCAAACAAACCCAAAACTGAAAACTACAAAATATAACTAGAATAAAACCACAACGAATGCAAGATACGAAGCGGAAACCTTAGGAAATTCCCCATTTTCCAGGACAACAGCAACAACAACAAAATTATCAGCGCCCATCATCAGCAGCAACTGAAATTGAAACTATTGAAGCAATCGCAGCGCAATGTTTGTGTTCATTGCCGTCCTGTTGGTCAATACCTGTCTGGCTGGTGAGTATACACTGGAAGAAAATGCATAAACCTTGTACTTTTTGTGCTTAAATCAAGTAGAAATTGGCTTAAAGTCGTATTAAGCTGTATTGTATTTGTTGGTGAAATCGGGTCATGTATTAGTTCATATTTTCTACTCTTAAGCAACATTATTATATTTTATTGAGTAAGTACTTTTGAGTATGTCTTATATTTGCGATGCGTACAATGAGTATCTAAGCCCCAGATAAACGCATATGTTAACTTTACATAGCTCTGTCTGCAATTTAACATAAGCACTGTTAAAGTAAGAGAATACATTTTATTATTATTATTATTTTTTTTGGATGGTTCGAACCAGTTCTTCGTGTTTATGTTTGATTCTTGAACCTGAACCTGATTAATTCGTTCGTTCATGTCTACTTCTTTTAAACAACATTACTATATTTTGGATATTATGCCTAAATTCCAGAACGATCTCATCTTAAATCAAGAAGTTTAGTACTCTTCTTGAATGAGTACTTTTGAGTATGACTTTTTTCTGCTATGCGTACTATGAGTACCTAAGTTCTAGGCAAACGCATATGTAATTCGTAGCTTATCTGTGCGTAGCTCTGTCTGCCATTTAGCTATCTCTATATCTATAATTGTACTCTATTGTAGGTACCATACCAGCTACGCCGGAAAATATAACCGTAACATTTCTAACGCCCACCGCAGTGCGTGTCTCGTGGCAAACGCAGATTGATCTGAAGGCGCATCCCATTGAGAAATACATTGTGACCTATAAGCCCACAGATGACAGGTAGGTACCTCTGGCATTACACAAATTAATTATACCCACACACAGATGCACACTGACACACACTCAGACACAAAGACAACAGCCACTTTTTTTTAGCAGTTCAAAGAGCTGCTGCAATTATGCAAAAAGGCGTCGCCAGCTTTACAATATTTTATGCAATTGACAGGCTCAAAGTTTGTGTCTGTGTGTGTACTTTGTGTGTGTTTGGCTAAGTGTGTGTGCGAGTGTGTATGTGTGTGTGTGTGTGTGCGTGCTATGGCCCTGAGCTAAATAACGACTCGAGTTAAGGACTCGTGCTGGAGGGGGGGTTCAGGCCACAACAGCAAATACAAAGTTAAAGCCAAAATTACCGCTTCTAAAGGCAAAGTCCAAAAAGAAAAACAAAAGCCGCGTGTACTTGAAGTTTTCCCAGTTATTGTACACTGAGCGAAAATTTCAATGAACCTCCAAAATATCGTACATACTGAAACAAATGAAATGTTTGAAAGAAGAGAGCAGTTATTGTAAACGTGCCACGGGCAAGGCTGGGCTATACTCGCTATTATTGACATAGGTTGAAATTCCCACCCCCAAAACTCGCTCAAAACTCATACGACTCCCACGAGGCTTGGCATTTTGCTCATGGCTTGACTTCGAGATCAATGGTGCATTTAAATCTAGCAACATAATTTTTGGTCGAAATTCATGTAAAAAGGGTACCCTAAAATATCTCATATAGATAAATTTCATATAGACATAGGTCGAAATTTTCCAACCCCATAACTCGGGCAAAACTCTACCGATTTCCATAAGGTTTGTCTTTTTGTTCATGGTTTGACCTCTAGATCAATTGTGCATTTAAATCTGGCAACATAATTTTTGGTCGAAATTCATGTAAAATGGTACCCTAAAATATCTTATATAGACATATTTCATATAGACATAGGTCGAAATTTTCCAACCCTGTAACTTGGTCAAAACTCTACCGATTTCCACAAGGTTTGTCTTTTTGTGCATGGTTTGACCTCTAGATCAATTGTGCATTTAAATCTGGCAACATAATTTTTGGTCGAAATTCATATAAAAATGGTACCCTAAAATATTTCATATAGACATATTTCATATAGATATAGTTCATATAGACATAGGTCGAAATTTCCCAACCCCATAACTCGGTCAAAACTCTACCGATTTCCAAAAGGTTTGTCTATTTGTGCATGGTTTGACCTCTAGATCAATTGTGCATTTAAACCTAGCAACATAATTTTTCGTCGAAATTCATGTAAAAATAGTACCCTAAAATATCTCATATAGACACAGGTCGAAATTTCCTAAGCCCATAACTCCGTCAAAACTCATCCGATTTCCATAAGGTTTGTCTTTTTGTTCATGGTTTGACCTCTAGATCAATTGTGCATTTAAACCTAGCAACATAATTTTTCGTCGAAATTCATGTAAAAATGGTACTCTAAAATATCTCATATAGAGATATTTCATATAGATATAGTTCATATAGACATAGGTCTCAATTTCCCAACCCCATAACTCGGTCAAAACTCTACCGATTTCCAAAAGGTTTGTCTTTTTGTGCATGGTTTGACCTCTAGATCAATTGTGCATTTAAATCTGGCAACATAATTTTCGGTCGAAATTCATGTAAAAATGGTACCCGCAATTATCCCATATAGACATGGGTCGAAATTTCCCAACCCCATAACTCGGTCAAAACTCATCCGATTTCCATAAGGTTTGTCTCTTTGTTCATGGTTTGGCCTCTAGATCAATTGTGCATTTAAATCTAGCAACATAAGTTTTGGTCGAAATTCATGTAAAAATGGTACCCTAAAATATCTCATATAGACATAGGTCGAAATTTCCCAACCCCATAACTCGGTCAAAACTCTACCGATTTTCAAAAGGTGTGTCTTTTTGTGCATTGTTTGACCTCTAGATCAATTGTGCATTTAAATCTGGCAACATAATTTTTGGTCGAAATTCATGTAAAAATGGTACCCTAAAATATCTTATATAGACATATTTCATATAGACATAGGTCGAAATTTTCCAACCCTATAACCTGGTCAAAACTCTACCGATTTCTACAAGGTTTGTCTTTTTGTTCATGGTTTGACCTCTAGATCAATTGTACATTTAAATCTGGCAATATAATTTTTGGTCGAAATTCATATAAAAATGGTACCCGCAATTATCCCATATAGACATAGGTCGACATTTCCCAACCCCATAACTCGGTCAAAACTCATCCGATTTCCATAAGGTTTGTCTCTTTGTTCATGGATTGACCTCTAGATCAATTGTGCAATTAAATCTAGCAACGTAATTTTTGGTCGAAATTCATGTAAAAATGGTACCCTAAAATATCTCATATAGACATATTTCATATAGACATAGGTCGAAATTTTCCAACCCTATAACTTGGTCAAAACTCTACCGATTTCCACAAGGTTTGTCTTTTTGTTCATGGTTTGACCTCTAGATCAATTGTGCATTTAAATCTGGCAACATAATTTTTGGTCGAAATTCATATAAAAATGGTACCCTAAAATATTTCATATAGACATATTTCATATAGATATAGTTCATATAGACATAGGTCGAAATTTTCCAAGCCCATAACTCGGTCAAAACTCTACCGATTTCCACAGGGTTTGTCTTTTTGTTCGTGGTTTGACCTCTAGATCAATTGTGCATTTAAATCTAGCAACATAAGTTTTGGTCGAAATTCATGTAAAAATGGTACCCTAAAATATCTCATATAGACATAGGTCGACATTTCCCAACCCCATAACTCGGTCAAAACTCATCCGATTTCCATAAGGTTTGTCTCTTTGTTCATGGTTTGACCTCTAGATCAATTGTGCAATTAAATCTAGCAACGTAATTTTTGGTCGAAATTCATGTAAAAATGGTACCCTAAAATATCTCATATAGACATATTTCATAAGGACATAGGTCGAAATTTCCCAGCCCCATAACTCGGTCAAAACTCTACCGATTTTTAAAAGGTTTGTCTTTTTGTGCATTGTTTGACCTCTAGATCAATTGTGCATTTAAATCTGGCAACATAATTTTTGGTCGAAATTCATGTAAAAATGGTACCCTAAAATATCTTATATAGACATATTTCATTTGACATAGGTCGAAATTTTCCAACCCTATAACTTGGTCAAAACTCTACCGATTTCCACAAGGTTTGTCTTTTTGTTCATGGTTTGACCTCTAGATCAATTGTGCATTTAAATCTGGCAACATAATTTTTGGTCGAAATTCATATAAAAATGGTACCCTAAAATATTTCATATAGACATATTTCATATAGATATAGTTCATATAGACATAGGTCGAAATTTTCCAAGCCCATAACTCGGTCAAAACTCCACCGATTTTCAAAAGGTTTGTCTTTTTGTGCATGGTTTGACCTCTTGATCAATTGTGCATTTAAATCTGGCAACATAATTTTTGGTCGAAATTCATGTAAAAATGGTACCCTAAAATATCTTATATAGACATATTTCATATAGACATAGGTCGAAATTTTCCAACCCTATAACTTGGTCAAGACTCTACCGATTTCCACAAGGTTTGTCTTTTTGTTCATGGTTTGACCTCTAGATCAATTGTGCATTTAAATCTAGCAAGATAAGTTTTGGTCGAAATTCATGTTAAAATGGTACCCTAAAATATCTTATATAGACATATGTCATATAGACATATTTCATAAAGACATAGGTCGAGATTTCCCAACCCCATAACTCGGTCAAAACTCTACCGATTTTCAAAAGGTTTGTCTTTTTGTGCATGGTTTGACCTCTAGATCAATTGTGCATTTAAATCTGGCAACATAATTTTTGGTCGAAATTCATGTAAAAATGGTACCCGCAATTATCCCATGTAGACACAGGTCGAAATTTCCCAACACCATAACTCGGTCAAAACTCTACCGATTTCCAAAAGGTTTGTCTATTTGTGCATGGTTTGACCTCTAGATCAATTGTGCATTTAAACCTAGCAACATAATTTTTCGTCGAAATTCATGTAAAAATAGTACCCTAAAATATCTCATATAGACACAGGTCGAAATTTCCTAAGCCCATAACTCCGTCAAAACTCATCCGATTTTCCAAAGGTTCGTCTTTTTGTGCATGGTTTGACCTCTAGATCAATTGTGCATTTAAATCTGGCAACATAATTTTTGGTCGAAATTCATGTAAAAATGGTACCCGCAATTATCCCATGTAGACACAGGTCGAAATTTCCCAACCCCATAACTCGGTCAAAACTCTACCGATTTTCAAAAGGTTTGTCTATTTGTGCATGGTTTGACCTCTAGATCAATTGTGCATTTAAACCTAGCAACATAATTTTTCGTCGAAATTCATGTAAAAATAGTACCCTAAAATATCTCATATAGACACAGGTCGAAATTTCCTAAGCCCATAACTCCGTCAAAACTCATCCGATTTCCATAAGGTTTGTCTTTTTGTGCATGGTTTGACCTCTAGATCAATTGTGCATTTAAATCTGGCAACATAATTTTTGGTCGAAATTTATGTAAAAATGGTACCCGCAATATCATGTAAAAATGGTACCCGCAATTATCCCATATAGACATAGGTCGAAATTTCCCAACCCCATAACTCGGTCAAAACTCTACCGATTTTCAAAAGGTTTGTCTTTTTGTGCATGGTTTGACCTCTAGATCAATTGTGCATTTAAATCTGGCAACATAATTTTTGGTCGAAATTTATGTAAAAATGGTACCCGCAATATCATGTAAAAATGGTACCCGCAATTATCCCATATAGACATAGGTCGAAATTTCCCAACCCCATAACTCGGTCAAAACTCCACCGATTTTCAAAAGGTTTGTCTATTTGTGCATGGTTTGACCTCTAGATCAATTGTGCATTTAAATCTGGCAACATAATTTTTGGTCGAAATTCATGTATAAATGGTACCCTCAATTATCCCATATAAACATAGGTCGAAATTTCCCAACC